ACATAACCCCCGAGGACCGACACGCAAAGGGAGAACAACAGATCCTTTCAGTCCTCGGGAGTTGGGTCTTTAGTTGGAAACGGTCCTCTGTAGTAGGATTGTGTGCTTAGTATGTAGGAGAGTGTTATATTACAGGACAAAGGGAAACACAAAGCATTGTCCTCGAGAGTATAGTAAAACAAGAGTGTCTGCTCTGACGGTGAAAGTATTGTACATGTAAAGCCTTGAAGGAATACATGTCTGTATGATATTGACTCTTTGAGTAATTTGAAAACAGATTAAATACTTCTGAATATTTGCCTTTGGCCGTGGCTTGTCTGAATGGCAAAAACCAAGTCAGCCACTGGCAGTAAGTCTTATTATTTTGTCTAAAAATGTGCCTTTGGTGTGTCGCATTTTTACACGATTCAGAAGTGGGCGTCGGTTCTTTTCGACCTGCGCCATTTTGATTGTTACCATGGACCCTGCCGAGTTGTCCGTGCTGTTTTACATGTGGTACATCAAACAGTGCGGGGGATTCTATCGTAACCTGATGACCGATAATGGCGGTCAGGTAGGCAAGAGAGTCATGTGACTTTTCATGCTACATGCATTCCATTATGCTGACAAGGGAGGGGGGGTTTGTGTCATGCAACATGTCATTTTTGGCAGTACATGTAAGTCTTTTTTTGTGCGCCTCACATGTGTCATATTTTTACATGATTCAGAAGTGGGCGTCGGTTCTTTTCATCCATGGCCATTTTGATTGTTACCATGGACCCCGCGGAGTTGTCCGTGCTGTTTTACATGTGGTACACCAAACAGTGCGGGGGATTCTTGCGTCTCCTTATGACCGATAATGGCGGTCAGGTAGGCAACAGAGTCATGTGACTTTGCATGCGACATGGATCCCATTATGCTTTATAGCTGACAAGCATGTAAGAAAGAAGGGGGGGGGCGGAGTTTGGCTTCATGCAGCATATGCTTTGTTTTTGTGTGCTGTGCTTTTATGTGCTGTGCTTCGATAAAAGTTGTCATGCTTCAGTTTTATTTTATTTTTTATTTTTTTAACTCTTGCTTACAGCTTTTGTTATGCATGTTACACAGAGAAAACACAAACTTTGAGGAGAATTTGACAGTTTCGTTTCACTAAATCACCTGCACAAGACCTTTGTAAAATAGCCCTCAGGTGCAGATCGGGGGGGGGGGGGGGGGAGTTTGGTGGTCCAGAAAAAACCCTGCTCTGACAACCAAAAATTATGACAGTTATAGCCAAAATAAAAAAAAATGCTATGTCCGCCTGTCCTCAAAACTCTGACCAGCTGACACAGAGGCATAGCCAGTGGGGGTAAGGGGGGTATTTGTACACTATGTGCATGATCGTCGGATTTGAACAGCGCTCCCATTGGAAGAATGGTACCAGGCCCCCCTCCCCCCCCCCCACCCCCCCCCCCCCCCCAAACTACTGTTTGATTTTACAGAGGCCAAGTGTCCGGGGAAAAAAAAACAACCTGCCTACATAACAAAAAAAATCTGACGGGCCTGACATTCCCCCCCCCCCCCCCCCCCCCCCCCCCCCGCTCAATTTGCTGGATCCGCCCCTGACCCTTTTTGTTTCTGTCATTGAATCTGTTATGAGACACCATATTGCATAATTAACAAAAAAAGTTACTGACAAGTGACAACCATCGATTGCTTTTTCTTTTGGAGGGTTTTTTTTTTTCCCCCAATGAACCTGTTTTTGTGTTGCAAAGGTTTATGCTTGCATTCGGTCAGTGGGTTTCAAGATTTAAAACTAGGGTGTTCTGACCGAAGTTTTTCAGTCCATATCTAATTTACCATTTGCACTGTATTCACGCAAATAAGATTATTTTAGACACGTAATTAACACTACAACCAGGGGTAAGGTTTAAGATTGGACAAACTTGAAGCCTCCATGCAATCCTTAGTGGGATAGATTTGATTTGATTTAGTTATTAAAAGGGAATGAACCTCATTGGATTTTGCTGTACTTTTCAGCAATGAACTATTTGAGGGGTTAGTATAATAGATCAAATATTGTTACACTGACATGTTTGAAGTTTTGTGTTCGAAAATGTTGGAAAAACCAAGAAAAACAAAAAAGTTCAAGTAGTCTGGTTCCCTGACTCCACTAAAGATAAAATGGATCAATTTATAGATGCCGGAAAATTGTAAGGTAAGGGAACCAGTCTAGCTGGCTTGCACCCGTTCATGAACATGTAACCAATAGCAAACAACTTTTGGACTGAAAAAAAGGTAAATTTGAAGCAGTAGTTTGAAAAATAATTAGGTATTTCCAACGGTGGTCAGCCGACCACCGTTGGAAATGTATACAAAAATACCATTTTTTTTTTTAAATGACTTCATACCTGGTGCCATAATGTAGGATGCTTTAGACTGTCATATACCAACATCCTAGTAAGGTATTTCGTAAAAACTTGGTAGTTTTATTTTTCGATGTTTGCAAATGTTGTTTATTCCCTTTAATCGGTGGAACCAATCCTGAACCATTTCCTTCGATCCTCTTGTTCTGTCGATGGTTGTGATAGTCAGTAAATGTACAGTAGTTAACTTTTAGTTTTGTCATGTTGACTAACTACCGATAATGTGCATCTGGCTGTGTGACCTTTTCTGTTATCTGCTAATATAAAACTGCTTATAAAGGCCATCCAGATTTAAAAGCCTCATTGACTATTTTGTATGCATATCCTCAAAATAAAAAAGGCTACTAGGGCTGTGCATCGAAACCGGGTACCCGAGTACCCGACCGCTGATGTCAGGAACCAGTTCCAGATTATGGGATCGGGTACCCGTAACCAACTTTACAAATTACTTATTAAGTTCGCAGACAATGAAGAAGAAAGGTTTGAAATGTCATTTGTGGAGGATTTTTCAAAATGAAAACCAGGCTACATGAAAAAAAAAAAACGGAGATCACGTTTATGACGCTTGCCAAAATGCCATTTACATCTTAAAGCTCATGAATTGAGCTCACTGTACGCACTTGTGTGTTGTATTGACTCACCGATGCGATGTCGAGTCTTGAGTCATTTGTTATCGTGACTCGTGAGTTTGAGACCGAGTCACGGAAAATGGGACTCGATTTGGACTCAAATCCTAGTCCAAGTCACGAGTTACTAGTCTGCTGGTAAGGCCCCCCAAAAAATATTCGGTCTCTGGTCAGACCAAAGTTCCGGAATTGATGCGGCGACGTGGCCTTTTTTTTTTTTTTTTTTTTGCTTTTTTTTTTTTTCTTCAAGCTTGGATTGTACAGACAAGATGGGGTAGCTTTTTGGGTGTCCTCATGTACATTGGTGTCCTCCATAATTTGCCTTGGTGCTCTCGATCATTTGCCTTGGTGCAATTTCCCATTCCTTGGTGCTCTTTGGTACAAAAAAATCAATGCGCGTGCTGACCAGAGACCGACTTTTTTTTTTTTTTTTTTGGCCTAACTGTGTTTTTTTTTTTTCAATTGGGTAACCGATTCCCATACTACACGTAAATGCACACCCCTAATGGCTATGATACCTAGCCACTGTGGCTTGAAAATGCCTAGCCATTGGCCTCTCTGGCCCCTGTAGAATCACCCTCATACATACTATAAATATCTGGTCAGTGTGGCCACATTGTCCATGTGGCTACCATCTTCGTGCATAGCCCTAGCTTAAAGGCTGCCACTTGACAGTGTTGCCATTGCATGGCCATCCTAATGATGTGTGTCTCACTAGGAATGGCTACCTGCCGAGTGGCCACCTCAGCAGTGTGGCTAGTATTGCACCACCTGAATGATAATCCATACCACTGGTCACTGTGGCTACCCGGCCACTATAGCCAACCCCTTGCTATAAACCTTTATCAAGTAGAGAATGCTGACTGTTTTAGTGGCCTATTAAACATTAATGACATGCATGTACCTTTTTAAGCCCAACCCAATTTGGTGTTGCAACTAGTAGTTGGATTGTGTGCCGTCATGCAAAACATGCACAAATGCTGCCAAATATGCACGCCCACATCATGAATACCCATAAGCATGCGCATAAATAAGCTTCATTTGTGTTATGGCTTTGTTACTCATGAATAAACATCACAGTAGAATCACAGGCAAACACATCCACAGATGTATCTAAATGCATGGTTGCGGGACTTTTTAATCATTTTTTTGTGTGCTCACTGTTGTAAAGCATATCAATATATATCTGTTTATTCCCATTCATAAGATGGCATTTGCATTGGGGTGCTGTAAATCAATATTAGTTTTGCCCTTCACCGACGTATTAACACTGTATACTCAGTGTGTTACCTCCCGAGTGAAAGTTGGAAAAAAATCAGTCGGGTGGGGCTCGAACCCACGACCTCCTGCTTTCTAGTGCAGTCATCTTATTACCACTCTACCACTGAGCTTGCTGGATGTTTGTTCCTTTTCACTCTGCGCATTCATTTCATTGCTCTCCATGCACCTGCATGTTTTGATACTCCCCTTCAGCTTCAAATGTCATATTTTACCATCATTCTTTCAAATTCTAAAGTGTGCACACAAAAAAAATCAATGCAGTTTTCTCTGAACCTTTTTGGTAGTTTGCTTTTTCTGTTTTGTCAAGACGAACGCAGTCTCTAATTCGTAATCGGGGTGTCTGCTTATTAACACTTTCTACTGATCATGAAGTTTATTTAGAAAGTGAATGTAATTTAATTTGTGATGAAAATTCTGGAAAAAAGCCGAAAACTTTCATCCCAAGAAAATCTTTGACTTGAATATACTGCTCTCTGTGGGCATTCTGAGGATTTGGATAAATTGGCTCTGGAAAAACTCAGAGATTTTTAAAGGTGGTTTTTAAAGGTGATGAAATTGAATCAAATCTCACTGGAAATTCAATTGTACTTTAAGCAAAGCTTTCAGACTTTCAAAAAAGAAAGTTAGAGAACAATTCTTAGTAGAAAATAATGAAGTTTGATGTTTTGGCCGACCGATGACATTTTGGTGTGATTGGATGTTGTGATAGGAACGTAAGTTTGTCGGTGGATCGCAGCAGTTGAGCATCAAGATGGGAGAACGTGTGGGCAAGGACAACATCAAACTTGAGAGCCCCGTCTCAAAGATTGAGCAGAGCGAGGAGAAGGTGGTTGTCCAGACCATCAACGGGGATGTGTTTGAGGTAAGAAGTGGATTGATTGATTGATTGATCGATTAATTGATAGATAAATTGATTGATAGGTTTTATTGATTGCTAGTTGGTTCATTGATCGATTGATTGATTGATAGATAAATTGATCGATTGATTGATAGATACATTGATTGATAGGTTTTATCGATTACTAATTGGTTGATTGATCAATCTATTGATTGATAGATAAATTGATCAGTAGATAGATTGATTGATGATTGGTTGATTGATTAATCGACTGATCAATAGATTGATGATTGATCAATGGGTTGACAAATAGCTTGATGATTGGTTATTTGATTGATTAATGATTGATCGATTGATTGACCGATAGATTGACTGATTAGCGATTGATTGATTGATTTACCGAGAGTTAGTGATTGATTAATGATTGACTGATTAGTGATTGATCGATTGACTGACCAATAGTTTTATTGATTGATTAATGATTGACTGATTGGTGATTGATCAATTGACTGACCAATAGATTGATCGATTGGTGATTGTAAATCCCTCACAATTGTTCTTTTCTTGACCTTTGAATGTACCGTAAAATTGATAACTGTAGTTAATCAATAAACATTTTGCACCATTTGTTGATCAACCACATTGACCATTGATTTTTGAACTGATGACCATTGTACCATATACAGGGTGTCAAAAAATACGAAACCCAAATGTCGGAACTATTGTTTTAGTGAAGTTCTGCATGTAGCATGTACAAGAATCAATCAAATTACTCAAGTGCTTTTCAAGTAATATGGAATTTTAAACACAACCACCGTTTTAAAGTTCTGCCCACGGATCCACACACATCCCTATGTGATTTGATTTCGCTTTGCTGAAAGAACACTTAACCGTTTTGTGATCCGTGGACAGAACTTTAAAACGGTGGTTGTGTTTAAAAGTCCATAACTTGAAAAGCACATGAGTGATTTGATTGATTCTTGTACTAAACGAAAGCTTATGAATTGGGCTTTCATATCCTAGATTTTGAAAGCGATACATTCAGATCTTCACTAAAACAATGGTCCCGACATTTGGGTTTTGTTTTTTGACTCACCCTGTAGAGCTGTTAATCTGACAGCCATTAATCCACTCGATACCTGTTTTCGTCCGTCATCCGTAGGCCAAGTATGTGATCATGGCTATGGCTCCGTCTATGACTCAACGCATCCATTACAGTCCTCCTCTGCCTCCCAGGAGGAACCAGTTGATAGCCAGAGCCCCTGTCGGGAGTGTCATCAAGTGCATGGTGTACTACGACAGGCAGTGGTGGAAGGACAGAGGTTTGTAGTCCACATCACTTTGGACATTTGTGTCTGTCTTGCTGTGTGATGTTTATTTTAAACTGCATCAATTTATGAGCTGGAATCTGTGGCTTTCTTTATTCAAATTTGTTGCTGGGGTAGAGTTCGACGGTTTGTAAGCAGTGTTGTAGTCGAGCCCTCGATGTCCGAGACCGAGACAGAGGCATCCGAGACCAAGACCGAGACCAGCTCTTTCAAGACCGAGACAGGACTTCCGAGACCGAGACTTTTGCAGGCCGAGACCAAGACCTAGACCAACAATGGGTTACCAAAGACCCGATACTAAAGGCGCCTGCTGAATGATCAGAATGTCGACGTCAAGACGCAGTCTTGTTTTGCACAATTAATCGCCGAATCTGCTCGCATATTATAGACCCTTGATGTGCAAGGGGATATTCCATAGACTAGTGAAAGTTGGGTGCGGATAAGAAATAAACATAACTCTGACTGTGAACATTTTTACGCATTGGCTCCTTGCCTTCAGTGTTTGCCATTATGAGTCTTTGTAGTTAAATGTGACAACGTGTACAGAGCTATGTCTGTCTTTAGCAGACATTACTGAGTTTCTTTTAAAATGAAGAAAATAACATACTTGTTTGACTGTTTTAATTTTATCTTAGATTTCTGCGGGTCTACCTTCAATGTGGATCCAGCCAGCCCCATGGTGTATTCCTTGGATGATACCAAGCCTGATGGTAGCTTCCCTGCCTTGATCTGGTCAGTATACATGCTGTCACCGTACCCAACCTGTCAATCCCAAACCCTCCCCCTCAACCCAGTCACTTACGCCCAGTGTGGATCCAGCCAGTCCCACGGTGTATTCCTTGGATGATACCAAGCCTGATGGTAGCTACCCTGCCTTGATCTGGTCAGTATACATGCTGTCACCATACCCAACCTGTCAATCCCAAACCCTCCCCCTAAACCCAGTCACTTACGCCCAGTGTGGATCCAGCCAGTCCCATGGTGTATTCCTTGGATGATACCAAGCCTGATGGTAGCTACCCTGCCTTGATCTGGTCAGTATATATGCTGTCACCGTACCCAACCTGTCAATCCTAAACCCTCCCCCTAAACCCAGTCACTTACGCCCAGTGTGGATCCAGCCAGTCCCATGGTGTATTCCTTGGATGACACCAAGCCTGATGGTAGCTTCCCTGCCTTGATCTGGTCAGTATAAATGCTGTCACCGTACCCAACCTGTCAATCCCAAACCCTCCCCCTAAACCCAGTCACTTACGCCCAGTGTGGATCCAGCCAGTCCCATGGTGTATTCCTTGGATGATACCAAGCCTGATGGTAGCTTCCCTGCCTTGATCTGGTCAGTATACATGCTGTCACCGTACCCAACCTGTCAATCCTAAACCATACCCCCTAAACCCAGTCACTTACGCCCAGTGTGAATCCAGCCAGTCCCATGGTGTATTCCTTGGATGACACCAAGCCTGATGGTAGCTACCCTGCCTTGATCTGGCCAGTAAAAATGTGTCATCAATCGCTCGACGCATCTATTCCCAAACCATTTTTTCCCCAATTATACCCCATCACTCACATGTGTACATACCCACGGCCTCATTCAAGAATGCTTGTAACCCTGTTTTCTCTTTCACAAAATCCTGTGAAAGAAAAAGATTTTACATGCCCTTGCGAAGTGTTTAATCAGGGTATTAAAATAGATATCTATAAAATGCAAGTTCAAGCAGCACCCTCAGACAATACGGTGGATTTAAAGCAAACGTTGCCTCCTTTAGCCCCAACTCCATCCCCGAGAATCCGCAAAAAAATCTTCAAAATATTCGAAAGCTTTAACTGTAAACAATAAAATCTCATTTTAGTTTCATTTTGTTGAAATTACTCTGTGGCCGATTTACGTTGCCATATTTTTTTCAATTGCAGCTTTGTTGCAGCCAACAAAGCGAGAGAATTCTGTGGCATCAGCAAGGAAGAAAGGTGAGATGTGTGCAAGGAAAAAACACCGAAAGAAAACAAGACTGCAAAATGATCTTGCATGGCAAATTGAATCGCTTGCAAATACCACAACTCATTTTGTCAGAACAAGAACGATGATGTGGTTCATTGTTCTTTTTCAAGCTAATGAATGTTCTTTTAATGTTTATTTATTTATATATTTCTTCTGAATTTACTTGATAGGAGGGACAGGCTTTGCAAGGCCTACTTCAATGCCTTCAACGGTGCGGAGGAGGCATTGCATGTAAGTACAATGTGTCATTCAAGGCCCCCCCCCCCCATAAAAGGACAACGGTCCTACCCCAGAACTCCCATCCGCGGGAACATCCATACGTACGTTAAAGTTTCGGTCAAGGTTTGAAAAAAAAGTATAACTTCAACATGCTTTCGTGGATTTTGATGAAACTTGGATGTGGTGATCCTTGGATGGGAAGACACAGTTCTTCATCGGATTATAGAGGTCAAAGGTCATGTAGGGGTCATTTGAGGTCATTGTTCAATTATGCTTCAAATGAATTTGTCTGCAGAATTTGTTGGATTTTTAATGTAACTTGGATGGAGTGGTCCTTGGGTGGGGCTTCATGACAACTCTTCCGAACTTGGAGGTCAAAGGTCATCTAGAGGTCATTTGAGGTCGTTTAAAAATGCACAAAATATGACCTTTTTTTTTTTGAGAAGACAAAACATATAGTGATCGACCACGGATAAAGGGGACACACGCGATCCGCGGATCACTTATCTTTTCAACTCGCTGTTTGGTGTTGCTCCAAGAGTACAAGCTGCTCACAGTAATGTTCACGGTGACATCAAAAGTTCCCAGCTAAACCCCAGCCTTTCCAAGAGGCCACCTTGGAAGAAATATTACAGTAATATGACATACATATTTATTGTATTTCTTCTTTCAGCCCGTCAACTACGTGGAGAAAAATTGGATGGCGGAGCAGTACTCGGGTGGTTGCTACACCGCCACCTACGGGCCTGGCGTACTGACCCAACTTGGAAAGTATGGCACAACCAGACATCAACCAGTGTTTATTTGAAAATTCCATCCTAACTGATTGCAATTCTTAATTTGTGTTGGCCATTTGCTGAAGCTAGTGTTGTATTTTTGTTTTGACAGGGAGCTGCGGAAGCCGTTTGGACGTCTGTACTTTGCTGGAACCGAGACTGCAACTCACTGGGCCGGGTACATGGAAGGGGGTATCCAGGCTGGGGAGCGGGCCTGTAGGGAGGTATGTGGATAGCAGGGTGTGGTCAATATGGGCGGGGCACTTAAAAGGGTGTGGTCATTTTGTGAGGTTCATGAAAGGGGTATCCGAGCTGGGGAGAGGGCCGGTAGGGAAGAATGTGGATGTGGGTAAGAGGGTGTGGTTGGTGGGTGGGGCTCAAAAGGGTGTGGTCAATTTTGCAAGGCTCATGGAAGGGGTTATCCAGGCTGGGGAGAGGACTGGTAGGGAGGTATGTGGATGTTGGTAGAAGGGTGTGGTCAAGGGGTGTGGCAAATAAAAGGGTGTGGTCAATTCGCAAGGCTCATGAAAGGGGTATCAGAGCTGGGGAGAGGGCCGGTACAGAGGTATGTGGATGTGGGTTGAAGGGTTTGGTCAATGGGGGTGGCACATAAAAGGGTGTGGTCATTTTGCGAGGTTCATGGAAGGGGGTATCCAGGCTGCTGGGGAGGGATGTGGATGTTGTTACAGGGGTTTGGACAATGGGTGTGGCCAATGGATGGGGCAAATAGAAGGGTGTGGTCAATGGGCGGGGCACATGGAAATAAGGCAGGGTTGGTAGATGTTTTTGCATTAATTATGACATCCGACTTCTGTGATTTGTTGTAGTGGATGCTTTTAAAAGATCGGATTTTCCTTGTTTGTTTTTCTTTCAGGTGTTGCACAGGATGGGAAAGATTGCTGAGAATGAAGTCTGGCAGGATGAACCAGAGTCCAAGGCGAGAAGGATCTTGGTCTATTGGACCTAAAAATGATAATAAAATTTACAATTTTTTTTGTCAGTGTCCGTAAAATTTGTGTAGGAAACGATCACGGAATGGCATTCATGTAATTTGCTGCACATGTAAAAAGAGTTTTTCACTACACATGGTATGATACAAGGTTTACTTTGCTGTAAATTATCTGAATTAAATGTTCTCTTTGGTTTACTCAGGATGTACCAGCGCTTCCCTTCGAATCGACCTTCTTTGAGCGGAACGCGCCGTCTGTTCCTGGTTTGCTCAAGTTCCTGGCTCGTACTGCCATCGCGTCAACCGCTGCTGGACTTCTTATCGCCTGGCGTCTCAAGAACAAGTAAATGGCACAGTCAAGGAGAAAGGATTGTACCGGACGGGTGATTCAAGCCCCAACAATTCATCTTTGTTTTCCTAGCGCCAGGTTTTAATTTGTACTCAGACCGTACCGAGTTGGTCTTTAAAAAGAAGCTGCCTCAAAAGATTACAAGTACAATGTAACAAAATTTGTTTGAATACTGAGAAGAAAAGCTGGTTTCTGTAACTTGAAATTCCAGAGAAAAAAATATTTGTCGTCTTTATAATACCCCTTCATCATTGTATTCAGTAAGCAGGGGTTAGGTATTGGTTGAAATCTGATCATGGTGGAGTTATTTTTAATCCTGTTTTTAATGGGTGATAAATATACCAAAGATTATACTGAACTTTGTGAGATGCCAAACAAACGTGGTGTGTTAGTTTTATAACTCTACTACTGATATAGCTGCCACAAACCGTCAAAGAATCTATCTACTTCATCTCTCGTAGCGTATGTACAGGCTGGTCGTCAACTGTCAGAATTCCACGGATTAAACCACACAACAGTCTGAACCTGTTGAAGTGGTTTGATACATAGGGTGACCTTGAATACTGCTACAACTTGTGTAGCAGCATCTTAGAGGACAATGCCTTTTTTTTTTGCTGGGATATGCACGAGTGTATGTGTTCTACATTACCCCCGAGGACAGACACACAAAGGGAGAACAACGGATCATTTCAGTCCTCAGGAGTTGGATCTTTTGTTCAAAACGGTCCTCTGTAGTAGGTTCGTGTGCTTAGTCTATGGAAGAGAGTGTTATATTAAAGGGACAAAGGGAAACACAAAGCATTGTCCTCGGAAGTATAGTAATTCAATAGTGAGTGAACCTGTTGTGCATTCATTACTACTGATCTAAATCCATCATTGACAGGCACTCACCAGCGCTGACCCACCACATCTGTCAATGTCAGTCAAGGCATGGTACCCTCAGTTAACGAAACTACCACAGCATGTCAATTCTACCAATATGAGGCCAGTTTGCCGAATTGTTAAAACCTGTCACCTGATAGATTTTTGACGGATAGGGTATCTCTCTCCATATTGTCACCGAGAGAGGGAAGAGATAACATTGTCCTTTGACTAATACCGTGCAGCCTCACTGGTACCATGCAGCCTCGATTCGGACTGCTGAAATGGGTTTAAAAAAAGCTGTCTGAGAATCTCGTGATGAAATGCATTGGTAAATGGGTGCGTGTAAAATTGTACATGTGTGTTCAATCCCTTTGATTCCCTCATTCATCACAGTGCTGTTCTGCCCGTACTATTAATAAATCGTCCAATCAAGGCGCATGAAAAATCTGCCTGAACAAGCACTCAAGGTTTTAGGTAAGAGTTAGTTAACCTATACTTGCATGTATCATTGGTTTGTTGTTACTAATACAATGACTGTTTCATGAAATCTATGTGTTTTGCTTTTCTTTCACAATTTGCTCAATTTTGTTGATTTTTATTTTTGATTTGTCGTAGAAGTTTCCAGCATGACAGCTTGGTTTTACCTAGGAAAGATTACAGAGAATGAACACGTATTTAATACGGACCATGCGTGGCTTGAAATATTTGAATGAAAAATAAATGTAGCTGCTTAAAATCCACTTATTACGCATGCGTAGTTTTTAGCTCAAAGAACGCCATCGATACTTTGTGTTTATTTTATAATTTTCTGTTTATACTCTGAATAAATGGCAATTAGTCGTTTCGTTGTAAAATTTGAGGTTGATTTTGAGAACGGATGCTTTTGAGCATATGAGGAAAGTTTGTTTGCTAACACAATTTAGTAGTTTTAGTAAAAATGTAATTGCCTTGAAAAGGTCGTTAACAGAATTTTTGTTTTGGTTTGTTTCATGAAGTTGATAGGCTTGTTTGTTATACACAATCTGTGTTTTGCTTTTTTTTTCTCGGAAACTTAAACAATTTCATTATTCCAAAACTAAGGCTGAAGTGAATTTGGCAATAACACTTGCAAATGTTAACAAAATCTCATTAATGGCTTGGAATACTTTAGCATTAGCATAGAAAGCTAGATAACATAATATCTGTTTGTTTGTTGGTTGGGTTGTTGGGGGGGTGGGGGTGTTTGTTTGTTTGTTTGTTTGTTTGTTTTACAAATGTAACACTTTGCTTTTATGCCGGCTTCAAGTTGATTTAATATTCCAAACCTTATGGCTGAAATGCAGTAAGCAATGTACACCAGTGTTTGAGAAGAAATTTCAAAGTGATTTGGTTAAAATGGAGCATTAGAAAGATATATTATACAATTTAAATACAAGTATAAATAATGGCAAACTAACAGAAATATTAGAATATTGATAATCATGTGATATTTACAAAAACTTAACATCTCATAAAGTTTCTACTTGTATGTACTCTTTATTGAAATGGTTTTTACATCAAATTTTACATTTCAAATTTCAAATTGAAAATATTTTATTACATATTTTCAATTCAGGTATTACATGTATTTCAAGTTTGCATAAAAGATGCTTATGTTCAATATGTCTGCATTCCAATCATGCATTGTGTGATAAAGTTTAATACAGAACAAGATTGAAAAATAAATAAATGAAATATTTGCTCAGCCTATGTACATGTACATGGTCAGTCGTTTTCTTTTATTTGCGTGTGGCCCTTTTTCATTTTGATCTTGACAGTAATAAAGCCAACAATGTCCTGGATGTAAAACACAATGCATTCTTTTTATCACTATGTGATTGATAGGCGTGTAGATGTTCAAAACACGGTTCTTTTTTTTTATCTAGTCTGGGTAGCATTTTAACATTTTTTAATCCACATGTTTGTATAAGAGTCTTTTTAGAATATTTTAATGTCGAACATATGTATAAATGTTTTTTTTTTTTTTTAATGATTTATGTTAATTGTAAATTGTAAACCATCGCAATTCAGTCTTCGGACTGCGAGAATGGTACGAACAATAAAAAAAAAAACCCTTCAAAAATAAAAAAAATAAAAATGTCCTGTTTAACCCCATGCGTACGGGAAACGGTCATGGCCGCGGCCGCTAATCCTCATTGGAATGCAGTTGCCAGCTGTGGTATGCCGTGGCGCACAGCTAGTGGGTAGTTCCACAGCTGCTGCTTTTGTGCAGTCCCGCTACCACACAAAGGCTGTGCAGTCATGCGGGCCACTTGCTCTATGTGTGGAGGAATGTCCCCATTACACCCCGTACTTAAGGGGTTAAAAACGAAGTTGCACAGACGTTAATTTCTAGCTTGACGGTTTTGAAGTCTGCTTCGTCAACTTGTTGAGCCGCGTTTGTAGCTTCTGCTCAAACTCTTTACGTCGCTGTCGGTTCGTCGTGTAATCTTTCTGCCGCTGCTGCGTCAGCTTCTGCCTCTGCACTTCTTCCAATTGGCCGTACAATCTACAATCCAGGACAGAAGACATTTTAATTCTGCCTTATTTTTACGTATTTAAAAGTTTACACTATTGTGTAATTTAACCGAGATGTGATAAATTGTAACAAAAAAATCTTGAAATTATTGTTTTATTTGTATGAGGACTTTATAGAGTACAAAATGTTTAAAGGCTCCTATCCGCTGAGGGTGACCGACCGACGCCATCTTGCCTGAATGCAATTTTGCCGCGACGCGCGGCCGTACCACTGCGTGTACATAGTACAAATCCCCTGGTGTACGTGCATCACACACAAGGAACAGTGCGCGTCAACCAGCTATTAACTGTCCCACCCATGGGACGTCGTTGCTAGGTAAAAGGGCGCCCTCTATTGTTGGCGCATAGGAGCCCATAAATGGAGTTTTGGTGTGAATTTAAGAAGAAGTTGTTTGAAAAACCCAGTAAGACAAACCTGACGTTTCTTTGGTACATATCTTTCTCTGAAGCCTTGCGGTCTGCGGTCGTTATCGTCTTGGATATTCTGCTCCTGTCTTTGCTTCGTGCGGTATCGCTCGATGAAGTTCGATGGCCACTTGGGGTTGACCCGGTGCTTGACCTTTTACCTTTGACCAATGGTCCCTTTGCTGGGCTTTTGCCTGTAAGATATTGAAATAAGATTAATATGAATTCAACAGAGATGAAATTTTCCAAATTTATTTCCAAAATTCCGATTGTTCTCACGATCTTTTCCCCGCAAAACCTGATTTTTAAATTTTTTTACGAATTCGATGAAAAGGACGCAGAGAAATCTAATGCGAGTGCAATTTTAGTCTGTTCTACCAGTCGTCAGTGCACAGATTGTATGGTAGACGCACATAAGTAAGCCAGGATTGGAGTAGTTTACGGCTGGAAATAAGTTTAAGCATAAACCTATGACTACAGCTATGACATGTCTAAGACTACGTACACAGCTTCGTGTTGCACGTGGAGTTCGACTGCAGTGAAATCCAAAAGGATTTGTTATTTTCGGACGTGTCAGATTCAGTGGTACAAAATGCAATGCTTTAAAAATCAGGATGATCTCGGGTATGGTGAAGAGATCATAAAAGACAAAGTACATGGACGGTTGTTGGAGGAAAGAAACTATAATGCCGATTTTTTTTTCCATGTATATTAGTGAAGCTGTTTGATTCAATGATTGAAAGGTGCATTTGTCTTGGACTGTGCTTAAAGATTTTCCTCTACTTTCTCAAGAAAAGAAGTGAACTTGTTTATTGACGAGTCAGTCACTCTGACCTCAATTCAGACTACAAAGCACTGAACATTTTTTCACATCGTAAAATCTTGTTCGGATCTAAAATAAAACGGGATGCAGTGTCTGGAAATAAGACACTTAAAGTAACTACATACATGTACATCATGCACGCGGCCCAGGTTTCGGACACGGATTTTTGTTTGGCCTGTTTTCCCATTTTTTTTTTTTTTCCGTACGCCAGTTTTATCTCCAATTCCAACAGGAATAAGTTAAGAATCAGACTGCAGATCTGACAATAGTAGAAGTTAACACCTAAAGATCACGTCTAATGGCCTGATTTGACAGATTCTGGCGCTACCCTCAAGCAGGAATAATGGCCTACCAGTCTTGGTCTTCCTTGATCGCTGGATCCTCCCGCCACGGGATCTCTTCCAGTTGTCCAGGGTCTGGGAGAAGGCGGTGGCCTGGTGACTATCGGCATGAACTTTGACCTCTAGCTGACGGGACTGACTCGACCTGATGAAGGATTGCTTGTGACGTTGAAAGGCTTCTTGTAGATTGATCGAGCGGACAGTAGATGAGTCTAGGATGATGAAAACATGACGAATTTTAATAAACAGGCAAACAGACCTCGGTTACCAATAAATGTAATATAATTGTTTTTACTTCTCAATCCTATCTTTGCTGGTATGCATGCATTTGTCTGCAGTGTTGTAGTACTCGTACTCGGTACTCGTACTTGAGTACTACTCGAGTACCTTTTTTAGAGTACTCGTACTCGTACTCCAAATGACGGTACTCGTACTCGGGCAACAAAGTACTCGTACTTGATATGTCGAAATTGTACTCGATCATCAAAGATCGAAGCTTCCTGATTTTCCTCTGTGCACGTTCGGACTAACACATTTAACAGCTAGCCGTGAGTGGGTCTGTATATCGGTCTGACTGGGCCTGGGCCAATTACGCACAATGAACCATTTGCCATATGGCCATATTCAGAAATAGAAGTACTCGTACTCGGAGACCTGTACTTGTACTCGGAAGTACAAATACTCGTACTCAGTAAACTAAGTACTCGGCAGTACTCGGTTTCTCGGAAAAAAGTACTCGACTACAACACTGCTTGTCTGTAATATTCATCACACGATTTGATTGCCTTCTTGCAAAACTTGACGTATTCGACAGGCAAGGGTTATAATTACATATAAACATAAACAGTATTGTGAAAATCAAATAATATTTCTGTAAATTGCTTTCAATTTGTACCTGGTGTGTTTTCAACTTGAGCCTCTGCCTGTGAACCGGTTCCGGCTGTCTTGGACTGGTCTGAACCGGATCTAGCCGGACTCTCCAATGACATCTCCTCTTCATGATGCAGGAATGATACCATCGAGTCGCTGGCGAGTTCCACGGATGTCCACTGTCTTTCTTTCTCTGCATCATCGTTGGTTTCGTCAGGAGCAACGGAGGATGTCAGAGTGGTGTTGAGAGAGACGAGGGTTAAATCAGGGTCTTCATCGATGCCTGTCTCCTAGGTAACAAAGGTATTCAAGAGAAAACAAAACCGATTCATCAATGAAAGAATTTTACAAAACTAACTGCTTTGCATTTAAGAATTTTTGAAATCTAAAGGCAAAATCAGACAATGCAAAATGAGGCTACAACCAGTCTTACATTTATTACAGCCTCAGTGAAGTATACCTACCCTCTCCATCCATGGGCTATGCACCCAACGCATCCTGTAAACCAATTAACGAGTGTTTACTTACTTTGGAAGTCTCACTTTCGCTGATAGCAATGTTCCTCATGACCTCTTGTAGCGTGTCATCCATCGCTTCCGACGCATCATGAGATTCCTCCACAAGTGCCCCGGCATAAGACAGCTTGGAAGATTCATCAACACCGGGTGCTTCATCTTCTCCAACATCTGGCCGAGATTCCAACGTCCTCGAGTCTGTGTCACCAGAAATCTCTCTGGATCCGGGAATCTTCCCCAGACTGGGCTCGAGAGTGGCACCCCTGTTAGGCAGATGCAGTTCTGAGTTATCCAAGCTTTGGTGTGGCATGAACCACTGCTCTTGTTCTCCTCTCGGGAAACCACTCCTATACAATTCTCCAATATCAACCACGCCAGCCTGCTGGCTCAGCACGTAACCAGGATCCGTTGTAGAGGGAGGTAATACACTCGGACCACTCTCTAACGAGGTGTTGTAGTGACTAAGAGACACATCTGAGAACATAGGCATGCCGTCTTTAGGTATGTCCGAACGTCTGAACACTGGAAATGCTGGTACTCCTCCAGCTAGATAGGAGCCACTCTGCGTGTCGCTCTCTGTCCATATGCTCTGGGGCGAGACTGGACCTAGAGTATACTCTGCTGATTCCATGCTTTGCCGAGGCACTGTGGGAAGGCTGTGAATAGCGCCCTCAGCTGTGACTGTCGCAGGTGGCAAAGATGGCTGCCAGGAACTTCCAGGAGGAATGTCCGTCACAAAATCCTTGAAAATGGGGCTCTTGGAAGATCGCTTGTCGCTGCCGAGCATCCGCACCTGGTACCTGGCACTTGTCGAGGATATTGATTCCGAGCCGCTGCTTTCGTAGGCGGAGAGAGCCAGGAATCGCTCGACAGAATCCTCGCTCAGGAGCGAGCTGCTTAATGAATGCTGAGGTTGTGTCAAGGTGTGATCGCTCAATGCAGAGACTGAGGAGTCTGGTTGGGTTGAGACGTCCTCATTGTCGGTAGCTGGAGAGGCGATGTGGATGACGGCCGGACTTGTGAGGGGAGCAGATGTGATGGTCGAGGTGGATACTGATACGGATGTGGCCGTAGTTACAGGGGTAGTCAATCCCATTGTCATTAACTGCAAAAATAAGAAAATACAGCCAACATTTGATAAATTACTCCGTGGTGCTTTGGAAGGTTCATTATAAATTTTACTTCTTGAAATTTTGTGCAAGAAAATGTTGATCAAAATGGATCATGTTGAACTTTACAAAGGATTATCATTTCTTACTTTGAGACACTTATTGTGGTTTTTCATGGAAACTAATAAGCTTTTATTAAAGCAAACTTACATTTGATGAGGGGTATGACAGCACACCGTGACCAACATCCACGGCAAAGCTTGGAACAGTAGTTGATGTTGATGTATCAGCTTGTCCTGGACTATGGCTATATTTAACTGGCTTCTGCACAGTCTCTGCTGCATGCAAGGTCTTTACTAAGTCCCTGCCGCTGACTTGGCTGGTTGTGGTCGCCATGTCAGAAGCCTTGTCGCTGAGATGAAAAGGGCCCTCGCTGGCTTCAGTATCTTGTTGAGAGGTACCAATGCGGGGTGGGCTGGTTTTGTGTGGGGTAGAGGCGAGTGGGTCCAACTCTGGGTGACTTCTGGACAACCGCTTACGTCTCGGTGATTCTGCCTCCAAGATGGTACTGAGCTCATGAGGACCTGCTTCCACTACTGGCTGAGGCAGTCTCCACTGTGCTGGAGGAGGTCTGGTGTGTCTATGACTTCTCAGTGATGATGGCAAGGTAGACTGGACAGGTACGGGTTTACTGGGATCCGTATTGGAAGCCAAGATGGTTGCCCAGTCATACTGCGATGATTGGCCGTGAAAAGATCTCACATCCTCGGGGGTTGAAGCAATCTCAGCTGGGTGATGATCAGAACTCTCAGTGAGGTTAGCACTGCTGTCTGGAGAGAGTTCGTGAAAGGATGGTTGTTCACTATCTGTGGATTTGCCAGTCGGATCAAGCGGGTAAGTTGTTTGTCCTAACGTCATGGAAGGAAGTTTGTAGATACCCTGGGAAATTGACGGCATTTCTTTATCTGAGGTGTCCTCTGTCCCAGATTCTGACAATCTCTGGCCAATCTGTTGTGAAAGAGTTCCACTTGGATGAACCTCGGATGCTTTTGTTTGTTCAGCCTCAAGTTCTCCAAAGACTCCAAGATGTCCAGACATCATTTTTGGCTGTGCATCAGAATATGACATCATCACCTCTGGAGTTCCTGGCGGTGATGTCATCACATATTGAAGTAACGGCTGTGACATCGTCCCCCCTGAGAAGGTGTCTCTTGGTGCTCCTTCTGGTATTTTTGACGTCATATTCTGTGGAATCGATTGTGACGTCGCCAATCCCGATGCTAACACTTCTTGCGTTTCTGGTTGTGACATCGTCCCCTTTCCGGATTGCCTGGCCAGCTGTTCCTGTCTCTGCTGTTCTATCCTCTGTGTTAGCACCCTCTGTTTGTCTAGGATCCTCTGCTGTTGTTGCTGCTGTTGCTGCTGCAGTTGTTGTCGTGTCTTCAGCAGTTGTTGCCGATGCTGTTCCAATTGCCTGAGGGGAAATTTATTCGAAGCTAAATAAAATCTATCGAAGACAAACCAGTAAGATTCTTAACCAAAAAATCTGTTTTGAAAATCCTCCTTCAAAATGTTTTGAAGTTATGAGACACATGTTCTTGACAAACTCTAGCAGCTTACTTCAGTAATTGCAAAACATTTTGTTTGATTTGCCTGAATAATAAATCAAAGTTACCCCCGCAGTAAAAAGGCACATGTGATTGGCTGCCTTTACTCATACTTGAGGGAGTCAAGTTGGCGTAGCGTTACTTTCCTCGCCTTCCACCGCTGTGACCCGGGTTCAAATCCCGCCTGGGTCAACATGTGGATTGGGTGTTCAGTCCCTGCCTGATCCCAGGATGGTTTCCTTAGAATATCATTCTGGAGATTTTCCTCCAACATCTGAAACTGTATTTTTTTTCCCATTGTATTCTCTGTACAGGTTACTTCATGCTTGCGAGCTACAGTGCCTAGGGCACTTTTGAGGAATCCTTGGTTTCATTACCAGAAATGATTAACAATAATAATAACAATACCTCTCCATTTCATGAAGAGCAGGTCCTGTACCAGGACTACTAGCTGACTGTTGCAAGACATCCGATTGTGATGTGGTAGCATCAGGCCTTGAAGCAGAAATACTTGTTGGCATTAGAGTTACACCTGTCGTGGATACACCTGTTGCTGTAGACACCTCTGTTGTTGCGGAGACATCTGCGGATGTCGGTAAGCCTCCACTGATACTTGAAACAAGTTGTTCAGCATCGGGGAGCTTTCCCAGCTCAGCATCTGTAAACACTCCTGGATACGCCAGTGTATGTGTCTTTATGTCTTTCAGGGGTTCCGTGGACGAAGTGGTGGTTGTATCTTTGAAGTACGGCTCATAAGGAGGCAGTTTGAGTTCAGGATATTGCTGCATGATTCTCTCTCTTCGTTGCTGTAGTCGTACCTGTGCCTCCTGGAGCGTGTCACGGCTCGGTGGCTGCGTCCTAGCCTGGTCTGGTGGTAGCTGGCTTGATCTCTGAGTGTCAAGGGTAAACTTTTCTAACCACTCCTTGCTATGCCCCTGTTGCACCGTCATTGGAATCTGGTATCCACCTACGCCTGACTGAAAGTTAGCTACCTTCGGAGGAGAGCTTTGTGGCTGCCGTGGCTCTCCGGTCTGTTCAAGACTGGAGGGAAGCTTGTGGACAGTAAAAGGGTCCATCCATTGATGGATAGGTTTTGCAGGAACATCTCTGGTTGGGTGTTCCTGTTCTACCTGTTGGCGGCTGGGTCTTTGCCAGGGTAACTGGACATCTGCCGACACAGAGGGTACTTCAACCTGTTGTTGCGGCTGCTGCAGTAGGTTATCTGGGAGCTCTTGGTACTGTGTGAGATCATGCTGTTGACCTGCATGTTGTGTCAACTGTTGCTGCTGTGCTCGCTGCTGTTGTCTCTGCTGGTCAGAAATCTGCAGCTGTCTGATAAGTCGTTGAATGGCGTGTGAGTGACTCTGAGTTTGAGGACCCTGATTCTGTTGGGGTATATCCCGCTGCTGCTGCATGTTATCATCAAGCGGCTGCTGTTGCTGCTGTTTTGGTTCTGTCCTCTGCTGCTTAATTGACGGTTGCTGCGGCGCGTCGTCTCTCCACAACCCTGCTCGCTGTTGTTCAAACTCTTGCTTCTGTAACTGCAGCTGTTCCCTGTGCAGCCTTTCTTGCTCCCCAATCTGCTGCTGCAGCATGCGCTGTCGCTGCAGCAGGTTGTCTTGCAGCATCTGCAGGTGGTCTCGGTGATCTGTGTGGTCCTGCAGCTGCTTTTCAGCCAGTCGCAGTCGCTGTTCATCCTCTTTGGCCATTATGTCTTGCTGCACTTTCTTCTGCAGCTCTACATTTGGCACCTGCAGTTGGGAAAACACAATCAATGCAAAATCATCCAGAACCATTTTCCATCACAAAATAAGCGGATTAACCGAATCAAACAGATGAGGCAGTACAGGACAATGGCTTCATTTCAACACCGATACAAACACTTCACTGATTGATTTTCCTAGCATACCTTTGAAGCAGATCTAATCTTTGCAGCTTCTTCCATAGGATGCAAGAGCATCATCTTCTCCTCTTGCTTGTTGGTGTCTTCAGACAGCGTGCCTGTCTCCAAGGTGTCCAGCGTGCTCTTCTCGCTCCCAGATTCATCCTGGGATGCCTCGGGGGATTGTGGGGCATCTTGAGACGGTGATGCACCCTGAGACGGTAAGTCTCTCGAACTTGGTGGGGTGTCTGGCTCTTCAACAGGAAGGCCTTCTTGGCTGGGCACTGCTAGCACAACTTTCTTCTTCAGTTCCTCTCGCTGACTCTTGATGCGATCCATTAACATCTTCAAAGGAGCTGGAAGATTAATTAATACACAATCTTAAAGTAACTTTGTTGTGTACAGTAGATTTTGAAAACATAAATTTAGCCCAAGAAATTTATTATGCAATTGACATCGGAGGGAATTGCTCTCTACACAGACTTAAAACCTAACAAAACCAGATGCTGAAACTTGTCAGATTGAGAGAAGTTATGCTCAATAATCTTCACAGACCTCTAGGCTGTTTTGGTTGATCCTCTTTGATCGTTCGCTCCGCCACCTTGCCAGCTTCCTCATCCAACCCTCGTGGGAACCTCTTCCCCTCATCCTCTCTCTTCGTTGGCGGCATCGGGACCGGCTGAAGCAAGATACCAGCATCGTCAGAGACCGAGTCAATCGTGACATCTAGGTCCGTGTCTCTCTTAGGTTTGGGCTCCAGTGCAAGGATCAAGTCGCCGGTGTAATCTGTCGGCAAGAAAAGGGGATTGGATTCAGTATTTCCTCAGGTCAAATTTATTATTTACATTTCAAGACACAACCTTCAAAAGAGGTTTTGCACCATAAACACTTGTGTTTCAGAGGCAACAGTGGCGTGGGTTCAAGTCCGGGCCCGGACACTTGTGCCCTTAAGCAAGGCACTTAACGTCCCATCCGAAGGACGAAGCAATAATGGTTAAGCCGGAGGTCCCGTGTGTTGTATAAGGCCAAACGCACGTAAAAGAACCCAGTAACACTTACCGCTAAGACAAGGGGTTTGCCCCGGTGTTTCTGGCCTCCTAGTTATACTCCCTTGTGGAAGTCCTTAGGAGAAGAACCAACCAAGTACCAACCAAGTACTTGTCAATTTTATCGTTTCTTTTTTTATTTCATTAACCTTTTCAGTTAGGCCAAAAAAAAGAATAGTTCTGCTTCCGGTTTACCCGACCGACCCTATTTTTAGGCTGCGACCCTAAAATTTTTATCGGCAAATCCAAAAAAAAAAAAAAGATTTAATAAATAAAAATAAAAACCTTATGTCTTGTCTGTCTTCACAAAATACCTCTCAACAACCCTTTTGCATCAATAAATGCTTGTATTTATTGTTTTCTTACTTACATTCGCTATTTTTTCAAAAGAAACCTCCGTTATTTTTACAAGTTCGCTTCGCGATTCAACTACTTCGCAATTCGATGTCTATAATCACGTGCGTAATAAGCGCAATGCGGCGACGAATGGTTCCCGCCGCGCCGCGCGGGCCCAATGATGAAAATGCTGTAACTAGTCTGTGCACGGCTATGCGATCGATAGCGCTAGCTAGCATGGCTATGCAGGCGCAGGCACGTACTCTGTCAACTGGTCGGATTCGACAGCGTAAAAATGCCAAGAAAGACATCGTAAAAATGCCAAGAAAACACCGATAGAGAAAGAACATTTTTGCAAGTTAATTCACAGATTTGATCTAGCTTGTCTGTGTATGTATTTTCCGTGTTCAAGAGTTCATTTTGAGATCGCACTACTCGTATTTGGAGTGATACAATGCAGCGTGTTTCCCGAAATTTTCGACCCGTTGGCCGCAGGCCACACATGTACATGTACAGTGCATCACACACTTTTCGGAGTTTTGGCCAGCTCCCCTTCTTGACTAGCGTTGTGCATATGGTGCGAACGACCTGAATTTTCCACAATTTTTTTTACGAATTATCGAACGTAAATATATTGAGAATAATTAAGGTAGGTTTTATTCACTTTTTGTGGCCATTTTGTTTATAGCTTTTGTGGTGCAGTGGAAATAGTTCAGGCTAAAACTTCGCATATAATTGAATACCCCCATTCAATCTGCATAAAAAAAATTGGCAAAAAAAAAACAATTCCGACCGACCGACCCTATTTTTGAAAGGCATGTAATCGGAAGCAGAACTATTCTTTTTTTTGGCCTTACATACTCCTTTTAAACACCATACACACATCAAATTTGAGTAAACCTCCCAGGATATCCCAGGGTGAGATCTAAAAGCATGTTATGTTATCTCATATATCCCTGATACTAGACTTAAGAAGGTTAGCCCTGAACGGAAGATTTGATTCCGAGTATGTTTGAAAGTCCTTCTGCCTTTTTTGCTGTTGCTTCATTTTAAATGTTGGTCTCTTTGTCAAACTACAGGGTGGTGCAAAAATAAGGAAACCCACTTTTGACAGGAATGTTTACCTACTTACTTAACTTATTTGAACTGTTTTTGTTTATGATGTAGTGAAGTATAGCTCTTCAACCATACATGGTGAAAAAATCTTTAAAAAAATCGTGAGAATAATTTTATTATAAATTTGAATATAAGTCACCAAAATCACTGTCGTCCACGTGTAAGTCTAGTGTAGAGTTTTTTTTCTTCAAAGCAAGCTACGGAGCTCAGTCAAGCGGATGGAATAAAGCCGTCCGTGGACAAACAGGTTTGGCTCATGAACTTTTTAAACTACCATATCTCAGAGACAAAATATGCATTTGCAATCATTTTTTCGTCACTTATGTTCAATATTTTTATACCGTTAAATTGAATTGTTGAAATATGCTCAAGAAGTAGGTGAGAAAATTGCTTTCAAAAGTGGGTTTTCCTTTTTTTTACACCATACTTTACATGTATCAACACCCACCAGTGTTTGTCATGTACATGTCTTCAAACGCCTGCTCCAGCTTCTGTTGCTCTTCTTGTTTGTCTTCAAGTCTTTTGTGAGGCGGCTGAAACACTTGATGCTGCAAGTGAGCCAAACATTACAGATAAACACTATAAGTAGGAGTTAGACAACCTCAAGCAAGCTAACAGCCGATATCACCTGCCCCGGCAATCAGATCTATAAAGTAGCGTGATGGCCCTCACTGGGGTTGATCAACCGTTAGAGTGACAACGATGAACAGTCACCATCGAAACCACCCGGTAAAACCTTATAGTTACATGTCGTGAGCCATTCACCCAATCGATCCCCATTACGCAAACATACAGTCTGTGCAAAGTTGTCCTTGCAGTCAAAATCAATCAAGTGACGGTTTTCAACAGTTAAAGAGCTCCCAGCCTACATAAAGTAGGATTGACTGGCTGTGACTGTTTATGTAACTTAATACAGCTACGGTTTGACTGTAGGTGATTGATAAGCCAACTGTGCCTACCAGTTGCCTGCTTTTGCCTGTTGACTGAGTTTGACTAGTCAGAGTGCTTGCTCAAAATATGATCTGACTGTTGGTGCCTAGCCTGTGTAAAAGGCATGGCAGAGGAAGTGGATGACATTTTTCACTGTCTGTGACAGTTAATCAGAGAATCACTGGATGTTTTTTCTCACCGGTATGTTAGCCACGATGGCCTGCCTTCTTCTCCGATCGGCCTGCTCCATCTGTCCAAGCTCCTCCATCAGCCTGGTGTAATCTTGATGCAGTAACTCCTGCTTCCTGGCGTGCTGGTGTCTCAGACGTGCTTTCTCCAATCTCTCTTTCTCTTCTCTCTCCGTCGCCATCTCGTCTTCTTTAGCTCGCCTCTCCTCCTCCTGCGCAGCCAGTCGGGCATCCTCCTATTATTCAATTTTTGTTTCAACAGGGATGTGAGTAGGCTTCAACATGGGTATGATGTCACAAACAAGTGAAATTGAGTTACATACATGGTTAGAAAGCCCACAACGTAAGCTTTCATTTGGTATATAATAGAGCTCCATGGCCCATCCCGTTCTGGAGATAAGACGTATTTGCATATATTAATTACTTCCTTGGAGCTCTAATTACACAACTGAGAAAACAGGCTTTAAAGCTATAGTCCATCATTTGCAGCCATCCGAAAAGTAACTGGCGTAATTATTGTTGAAAAACAAACTTAGTTGAAAGATAGTAAGGGAACTAAACTCCCTGTGAAATTATTCTTTCTGGGAAGCTGTCATTTTGAAGTAATCAACGAAAGAAGGCATTTCCAACGGTGATTCTTAAGAAGCACCGTAGGAAAATTTAAATTAGTAGTTCGTTTGTTATTCAGCGCAGCGCGCGCAAGTATTGGAACGACGCACACGCGCGCGCGGTTGTTATAATTCGTCGGATCAGTGCGCGACGTCGCGTATAGCTGCAATTCAAAACATGATTCAGTAACTTTTGATTTGAAATTGAGATCTTAGAACGCTGTTTTTCTCGGAATGTACAGCTGAAGCTTAGCTGAAACTTTATCAGGTTAGTTGCTTAGTATCCTTTATTAGATTTTGAACTCTTTTGTTGCTTCAAACGAACAAAATGCACAAATTACAAATGATGGACTAAAGCTTTAACATAGCTGGCTCTGTTGTAGATTTGGGCATGATGCACTCAACACTGTTGTTTTTTTCCAATTTATTCATCGAAATCAACATTTCTGCGAATGAACCCTGAAACTTCAGGTATTAAAAATGTCATTCATGACAAAAAATGAGAATCAATTTTTGACAAAATGTTCACCCTCTCAACGTTGAGCGTGCCATTACACGATAATGCACAGAGCAACTTAACAGCCTTTTTTGTGGAGTGGGTCACATTCAAGGGAAACCAAAAAGGTTTTAAAATAAAAGTGCAGGAAATCCTGTACAGTGTATCATAGAGAGTCTTTGTTTGGTTCCAGCCTTAAAGGGAAAATACAACATTTGCAAACATCAAAAAATAAAACTACCAAATCATTTTGAAATACCTTGCTGGACTGTTAGTGAATGACAGTGTAAAGCATCCTGTAAAATCATGGCACCTGGTATACTGTCATTTTTAAGAAAAGTGGTATTTTTGTATCAATTTCCAACGCTGATTGGCCGATCAGCGTTGGAAAAAACTGGCTTTTTTTCAAATACTGGCCCCAATTGACCATCGCGCTTGTTTGCAATCGATTACACACCTATGAACGGGTACAAGCCAGCTAGACTGGTTCCCTGACCTTACAATTCCCCAATGTACGTAAATTGCTCTGTTTCTTCTTAAATGGAGTCAGGGAACCAGACTACAGGAAAATGGTTGTTTTTCTTGGTTTTTATAGCATTTTTGAACCAAAAACCTCAAAAAAGTCAGTGTAACTATATTTGCTATATATTTCCAACCCCCCAATTCCATCCATTTCTGAAAATTACAGCAAAAGCAAATGATGTATATTCCCTTTAAAGGCTCCTGAGTTATTCTGGGGCCAGAGACAAAGCTGGAACGGGACACAAAACTGAAACTTTACCTGTTCCCGAGGTTCTGCCTTCTCCACATACTCTCCTTTCAGATGGTAGTGACTCGTAGAGAAACCACTGACTACCGTCACAACTTTGTTCTCCTTGCCAACGTCGTCCAGATCCTCAATTGGGTCCTGAGATGTAATTGGGTAATAAAGTTCAGTCTTCAGGCCTTCCAAGTACATCAGAGCTAAGATCCCTACTGAGTGATCGTAACGGCAGAGGATTCATCTCCAGAAGCGATAATGATATTTACCACGTCACAGCCATTTTTTTTTTTTAAGTTGCGTATCTAGAAAACTGGTCACATTAGACTTGCATCAGTCAGCGTTTGTATAGTTTGTGAGGGATTCCTTGATAGAATGGAAATAGTGATTGGTGCATTAATACAGCAGGAGGGTTGACCTAGACCAGTCTAATGATTGTTTAGATTATGTTTGCCATTGAAAGTCTCCGGTACGTTACCTTGGCTGGTGGCGGTAAACTTGCAATCTTTGCAGCGCGAACTTTCTCAGTTTGTATCGCAGCCTTCCTGGCTATGATGTGGGCGTTTTCTTTCAGGTAGTGCTGTTCGTCTTCCTGTTTTTGTCTCTGGAGGGCGCTGCTGTAGCGCTCGTTGGCAGCATGCTTGTCCTTCAAGGCTTGAGCTGCACGTATCTCGGCTAGTGGAGGCTGTGGAAACATCGAGTAAGGAGAAAATAATTTGTGAAAGAAAGTGGGTTTTTTTTTTGTAAGATAGACTTGTGATGGAGTTGCGATTGAAGCGTGATGGACCTGTGATTGACTTGACTTATTATCAACATTCTTCCCAGATCTCCTTGTTGACCGTACCTGACTGCTAGCGGCCCTGTGACCGTCCCCAACACTCTCCAGACTCCTCTCAAACATCTTCTGTAAAGCATCAGTCTTTTCCTTCTTCGCCTCCTCCCAATCTTTCTTCAGATGCAGCGCCAGGTTCTTCAACTCCTCTCCTTTCTTCTTACTGACGTTGTTTCTGATCTTGGAGGCAAAGTGTCTCTCTTGCTCTCGAACCTGTGCAAAGAAATACAAGCTTAAAATTAGAATATCAGAGGTTTTCAAATCTTCAAGATGCTTGATCAGGGGTGTGAGAGACCACCGATAAAAATAGCTGAAAACAGCTGAAAAAGGTGTAAAAAAAAGCTTAACTTTGGAAATCTCCTATACTTTTGTACACAGCAAGTGAGGGAAAAAAGCTAAAATCCAAAACAAAAAAAGCTGAAATCAGCTTTAAAGCTGAGATTTCACACCCCTGCTTGATACATGGTATTTCCAAACTTTAGTTTGTTTAGTTCTGTTTATTTCTGGAGCATTCACAATAAAAGGTAATAGGATTACGACTACCACATAATATCTATTCAGTAACAACTTCAGAACACTGGATTATTACAAATCTCACATTTCAATTTGTGTAGCAAAGTGACATGGATGTCATGAAACATCAGCCCTAAAATTTGGTCCAATTTCACAGAAAGGAGAATAATATAAAACAAAAGTTGGGCCATGAAAATAAGTTGTGCAATTTAATTCTAGAAAATGTCAAATGAAACTTCAAGATTTCAAGGAAAATCTCACCTGTTGGATCCTTATTTTCCGTCGTCTCTCCTTCTCTTGTTTGATTAGCGCAGCCTCCTCATTTGGACTGAGTCGGTAACCAGTCTTGACAGACTTGGTGCCAGTGGTTGCCATGGTAACAATGTACTGTTGAGGCTAACCTTTGCTCTAGAAAGGGATGAAAGAGAAGAGATATGTTTACAATTAGTGGTTAGCTTACAGCATGTAGGCATACAGTATTTGGTTGGGAAAACAAGAGATTTATAAATTCATAAATAAATTAAAATTTCAATTTCACTTCACTACACTAGTCGTCATGCTACTTTGCTAATGCTACTTGCTAGTCTTGGCTTGCCAATTGTAAGGTGGAATCGACTGTTCAAAATCAAAAGAAGAAAAAGCAAGTCAAAATAATTGCTTTTATTTTTAAAAAGTTTCATTCACAGAAGGAATGCCGTTTGTCACAAAAAAAGATGAACAATTTCACTTTCAATGTGTTGATTGCGCATTTTTCCCGAAATGGATGCAGTGGATCGTGATGTAAACAAGCACCGCCGCACAAGCACACAAGCAATAATCCTTTTCACTCCAAACAAAATCAGACCATCAAGTTACTCAATTCACTTAAAATTACTATCAAGCATACATACCAGTTTCTACATAAATTTCACGCTAATGCGGGGATTCAAACACCGATTTCTCTCATTTTTCATTTTACAAAATTCGCAAAAACCGCCGGTTGATAAAGTGTGGTACCCAGACGTACAAACGAACTTGAATGTATTTGTCTTGCGTTCACAAAGCACCGTACTAAAATGTTTTCCAAAACACCAGAGGGCGGGCTATTGGAACCGCACGGATATGGGCGGGGCCCGATAATAAGCAGGGGGCGCCGGGGAGAAGCTAGTGAGTAGAAATACAAAAAACTAATTTACAAATTACAAAATGACTAAACAAAACAGATGAACTTTTTCCTTATAATCGATGATAAATTTTCAAGCGTTTCAATCCATTTTAGCCTTTTTTTTTCAGACCCTGAGCCTTTTCCCAGTTTGGTTTCATGCAAGCACTGTTTTGTATTCAAAATTTAGTGTCAGTGTGACGTGATCATTTCACAGTACATGTTAGGCCCTATGTGCAAATTAACGTCTTATTTGTTTTGTTGCTTCAGCGACATAAGTCATAATTGTACCAAAATGATCACGGGGGGTACGTGCCAAAACACAGGTATGAAGTGCAATGAACCGTTCAGTCATAGTCTGAACGATATTGCAGACGATATTTGCACAACCTTTGGCCGATTATAAAAGCATGGAAATTTTCACTTGTGTACTGACACGACCTAGCATACCGAAATAGCTGCATATGTGTTAGTAATTCTGAGTAGGCCTTCGAACCCTTGACGTTTTCCCAATTTGCAGGCCCAATTCTGTCGTACCGGTTTAAAGTTCGCCGTATGAGTTCGTTTATGTAAGCTTTATCAATAATCACAGATGTGATAACCTTGCTCCGATCAACTAATAATCGAGCAGGATCTGAATTCATTACACAAGTCTACCCGGGTTCGTCAAGGTATAGGCCTACTAGTACTACTTAATACGCGTACGTATACTTAGGTAAGTAATTAGGGTTCTTTTGCTTCCGAGAATGTAATTTTGTGGCTGGTGCAGTAGAATATAGATAAATACGCACTAACGCTCTGCAGTAATAAGGCTTCGGCTGGTACATGTACATGCATGTTGTATTATATGCAGCAAATCTATGGAATCGGTAAAATGTGCAGTGTGTTGCTGATGACTACACAATACAACTGCGAGTCGTTGCTTCTTAATTGGATGGTACGGGGTACATGCATGGGCATGGGCGTCGCGAGGGCCCCCCCTGGAAAAGCAAAAAAAAAAAAAAAAAAAAAAAGAGGCGCGAAGGCAAAGTGGTGTAAATTTAATGAGTTGGGGGGGGCAAAATGTCCCTGCCCCCCTCTAAAACTGATAAATCGAGAATGTGTTGAGAAATACATGCATTTTTTTGCAAAAAAATGTGTTGCCCCCCTCTAGAAAAAAATCCTGGCGACGCCCATGTGCATGGGCATCAATCCTGGGGGTCCCCCCCCCACATTTTGAAGGGTGGGGGACACAATATCAAATTCCCCCCCCCCCCCCCTCCCCCCTCCGATTTTTGAGCTCGTGTCTCATTTACAATTAAGGCCCTAATATGTACTACAATGTATCTTCTGCTTAGAAAATATTGGTTAAAGTGGTCAGAAATTGCCTCAGATCGCATCACAGAGCATTTAGAATCCAACATTTTTCGGGGCCCTTTTAATTAAGCGGGCCGGCCCCGGACCCTATGCCTGTAGCTGAGAAAACTTCTAAAATTATGTTTAAATTATTATCTTTTGCTAAGAAAATATTGGTTAAAGTGGTCAGAAATTACCCCAGATCGCACCACAGAGCATTTAGAATCCACAATTTTTCGGGGCCCCTATGTCTTCAGCTGAGAAAACCTCGAATTTATGTTTAAATCATTATCTTTTGCTAAGAAAATATTGGTTAAAGTGGTCAGAAATCAGAGCGTCTAGAATCAATTTTTTCGGGGTCCTTCAGCGGGCCGCGCTCCGAACCACACGTACGCCTTTAGCTCAGAATACCGGTAGCTGATTCAATGACTCCAACCTCGAAAATGATGTTCAAATAATTATCTTTTGCTAAGACATTAAAGCATGGAAGAAAGTGGTAAAAAATTGCCTCAGATCACACCCAGAGCATCGAGAATTCATTTTGTTTTTCGGGGCCCTTAAGCGGGCCCCGAACCCCACGCCGTAGGGCTTCGCGCTCCGCGCTCGCATCATATCCCCCGCCCCACCCCCACCCCACTTTTCAGAAGCGCCATTGACGCCCCTGGGTACATGCAGTCATTGGGTTTTGCCCTTCATCGACGTACTTTACGTTATACTCAGTGTTTTCCCCGAGTGATTTTGAGAAAACTTCACAAAAATACTCGGTGGGACTCGAACCCACGGCCTCCTGCTTACAGTCGATTGAATTAACAGTTGGGTATACATCTCGATCGTATGTATATAGCATATAGCGCATTATTACAATTTGCACTGTACATATCACCACTATCATCATCATCATTACCATGCTAGCACAACCATCCACAAAAACTAAAACAGATTAACCTGTTTCTTTGACTAGTAACTTCTACAGAATTCAGAAAAAGAAGACAAGATGTTCAAGACACTTGCATCCCGAATGTTCACTACACCGGAAGAGCCAAAATACAAGGTCATCGATCCTCCTGAGGTAAAAGTTTTATCTGTAGATCGGTCGGTTTTCTTTCCGTATTATTCTAATAATGGCCACCATATACATGTGCGTCCTTGGCTCCTTCATCTCATAATCCATCCGACCGTGCTCGATTGAATCAAGATTAATGTAGGCTATCGGGAAAACGGCACTCAAACTTAGTCACAATATTCCAAACGGAATCAGCCTCCGCGGTGGTTACTTTCCTCGTCAATTCCACCGCTTCGGCCCGGGTTCGATTCCTGCCCGGACCACATCTGGATTTACCTCAGTCCCTACCTCAGCGATTCCGTTGGGTTATACCCAGAATATTCTTCTGGGGTTTTCATCCTCCTCCTCCTCCTCCTCCTCCTCCTCCTCCTCCTCCTCCTCCTCCTCCTCCTCCTCCTCCTCCTCCTCCTCCTCCTCCTCCTCCTCCTCCTCCTCCTCATAATTCGGCAGGCGTCCGTGGCCGCCTCGTCCTCAGATTGTAATGGGGGCGTATCCCTTTGGTCGCCGCCATCACGTATATGTACCTGTTCTCTTTCACTGATTGCCGCTATTCTCAACTCTTCACACTTTTGCCATTCCACATCGTCACATTGTCTACCCAGCGCAGCTTAGGGCGACCTCTGCCACGTCTCGTACCCATAGGCAAACCGTCTATAACTGCGCAGGGCAGACCTCTCGTCACATAAAACTGTTTATAAAAAGCGAAATGTGAAGTTATACATCCGTTTATACTTCCGGTCTGGTGGCTACTAAAGTGGCACTTTTCCAAATCATAAAAAAATTAAGAATACCCGGGTGAGGTCTCTCCAAAAAAAAATGCCGTCCACACATGGTAACCACTAATTTCTTGATGTTTAGGGTTCAAAAGAACGCGATCGGGGCTTTGAAGAGCGTGAATATGAGCCATGCATGTGGGCCGTTGTCGACGCCACCGGCGATACCGCAAAAGAAGCGACAACTGCTGGATTTCGTCAGCTGCTGAAATACATATCTGGAACCAATAAAGAAGGTATAAGCTCACTGCCTTCTTGAGATACAGCAGGCACAATGCAGAAGGGTAGAATTTAGAGTTGGTAAACTCTATAGTTGAAGTTACTCAAATTTTCCCAACTTTAATAAGCGCCCCTACTTGTGACCATATATCACAAGGGCGAGAATGACAAGAAACGACGTCGAGCTTCTGAATTATTGACCTATCGCGGTAGAATGGCGTCAACGCAGCTCGTGAAATATTGTCAATTTTACATGATATACAAAAATGGACGCGGGACGTGCAAAATCTGAGACAAACAAAACTTAACGTACACAATTCCATAAGGTTGTCTAAGGGGCGTAGCTAACTCGCAAATGGCGATAGGTCATTTCTTATTGGTCGTTATGACGAGACACACTCCTGTTTGATTGGCTAAACTATCAGACGCTGAACGCAGTGCCTAGTGAGCGCGTGTTAATATTTAAATTAAGGGTGACCATGAGTTTATCAGGGACATGTGCTATCTTAGCTCGCTTCATTTGATGGGAAAAAATAATCATGAAAACATATCGTTCCTTTTGCCAGGCGCGACCGTACCGATGTCAGCTCCGGTCATGGTGTTCCATCAACCTGGCGAAGACGAAAGCTGGAAATCCTTCAAGAAGGAGGTCAAAGTTGGTTTCATGATTTCCACTGACAAGAGGGAGAACCCGCCCACGCCAAACGATGACACGCCCATCACGTTCAGGAAAACGCCCACAACTCGTGTATACGTCAGGTATTGTATTTAAATAATTATATCCCCGCCCTCATCGTACCACACACTCAATGATCGACTTGCAGAGAATAATTATGTTAGAATGAATCAAAGTCATATACTCTACTGGTATCTACGATACTGTCCTTGGTCATAACGATGCCCGTATATACAGGAGGAGTAAAAAAAAAAAAAAGGAAGCCCAAATGGCGCACCCTATTTTGTAAGGAACTTCTGCCTGTAGCGCTTTCCATATCTAGGATGTGAAAGCCCAATTAATGAGCCTTCTTTTAGTAAAAGAATCATTCAAAGCACTTAATGTACTTTTCCATTTATGGAATTTTGAACACAAACACAGTTTCAAAATTTTGCACGGATCACATTTAAAGTACGTGATACTTATTTTAGAAAAATTAAACCATGTCGTATATCATGAAAACGGATATCAGAATAATCCCATAAGTCGCCGGGGTAGCCAAGTAGAAGGCAGGGCAAGACTATAAACTCTTGACATTATAAAGCATGTTGTTTTAACATTGGAAGCAGAAGGTGTTTAACTTAGGTATAAGTGCCAGTTATCATGGCTATGGAGAGTGTTCTGATGTTGTTTTGGTGTGTTTTTTTATTATGTGAATTGTCTTCGTTTTGCTGAAACATCACTTACATTTATTGTGATCCGTAAACAAATTATAAAACTGTGTTTGTGTTTAAAAGTCCATAACTTGAAAAGTGCACGAGCAATTTGGATGATTCTTTTTCTATTAAGAAAGCTTATTACATGGGCTTTCACATCCTAGATGATGAATGTGTTACATGCAAAACTTCTTTGAAAAAGATAGGGATATCGATTTTTCGAGTTTAGTGTCACTTCGTGGTGACGGTGACGATTGTGGGCTTATTTGGTTTTTTTTTGACTTGCCCTGGTCCTGGGTGCTTATAGGAGCTATAGTTATGGCAAAGATATGAAATTCTAACTGTTCAATATCTGTATATATGTTTTCTTTCAGGAAATACGGAGGTTTCTCCAAGGAGGAAATAGCCTTAGCCGAAGTGGCCAACCTACGCGATGCCCTGGGAACCAAGCACAAATACATGAATAGCTTCTGTTATTTCTGCGGCTACGACAGCCCGATGACCATGTTCGGCAGACGAAACGAGATCTGGTTCCTCAAGGAAACTAGCGAGGCAGAGATATGAGCTTCGTTTATCACGTCCGAGTCGAATTAAGATGCTGGAAAGGAAGTAGGAAATTCTAAATGTAAAATATATGTACACCAATGACGTGTAACATGCGCACAGTGGACCGATCCAGTAAGCACCGCCCCATGGTGTTCTGACCAATCACAGCCGTGATTTAGGTCCGACGTGCGTGCACTAAAGTCCGACAAGCGTGCACGCGGTACGCGCGTATGATGCGCGCGGAAGGAAAATGCAGCGTGGCATTGGAGAGGAGCACGTGTTAATTATTTGCCTAGTGCGCTGTGGGCGGGGCTTACTGGATCGGTCCATTTCCTCGACTTATATACGTAGATCTTATTACATGTATCTGGTGATTTCGAGTAAATAAGATTAAGATAATAAACTAAGATACATGTTTACAAATGTTTTTGATAATCGGTTATACAGCGCTGTAAACGTTTGTAACAAAAAGATACAATGAAAGATGCATCATATTGCATCGTCAGTAAAATTGTTCTTAATGTAAAAGAAACCTATTTACTATGCGCTGCTGTGCGTCTTGAACAAGACTGGGTCTTGTAGAGTTAGGCTACAGGCACACCAAACCGTTGTTAGCATTTGGTGGATTACTTTGTAGTCTTTCTAGTAGAATTTTATTAGTCCAAGCAGGTTTTCTCCACGTCACACAATCCAGTTGGAAGTGGGATTCAAAAGTGTCTCGCAAGTTACAAGCCGAAGCGCCACCAAGCGGCGAAATAGGACCTCAATTAATTTGAACTTTCTTATCGTGAAATGAAATTCGGGAGCGCGTTTTCCCACAAAGTCTGCCTTGGAAATTCACGTGACTACCAAAATAAATGCAACATGACAGCGTCCATGAGACGAACCTTGACTTTTTCAAGTAAAGCAATTATTTTTTTCACACATTGTTGCACTGATACTTAAGCATATAATCGTTTTAAAGCCAAATCTTCTTTTTAAAAAGCCTATTAGAATGAAGAAAATTTCGGGGAATCCCCTTTTAGAGACCAGGTTTGTTACTCATGAATATTTAACATCATGATATAGACCAATCAGAATCAAGATGCCAAGCTCACACCTCCAACAATGACCAATCACAACTGTTCCACTGGGCCCGGATGACTGGTTTTCTGAAATAAATGTAAAAGATTATTTCTTAATTTTTATTTCTCAAGTTAAAAAAAAAACAACTTTTATTTACAAATTATATTTCCTAAATTATATATGCATTTAAAGGTGAATCGATGATCACTTAAACTGTAATTTCCAGTTTTGGATTTTAATAAAGTTTATCTAAACTTGGAAAAATAATGAAGAAAAAATACTGTAAAGATTGACTGGTTCCTTTAATTTACCCCCATGCACTAAAGATGTATTCCTTCCTGCAGGTAATTCGTAAAACACTCAGGTAAAACAGGAACCAGAGCCAATCCTCCAACGAATGACGAATGTTCAATTTGTATATTTAACGGAAAAACTACCTTTTTATGTCAGAAAAAAAGGACCTTTTTGATATTGTTGGGTTTCTTTTACACCTTTAAGTTTATAGGCGCTCAAAATTGAAGATGCGCAGCGCAGTTCACTTACCACGATTGTCAACAGAAATTGGAGAAAGAAAAGAAATACATCTAAACATGTGTCCTTCAAGAAAAAAAATGAAGGCCTAAACAAAGTGCTGTTAAGTTCATTGTACCATGACCCCCACCCTTTCTGAACTTCCCCGCCCCTACATGTATCCGAAGCTGACAGGAGTCTGGTCCTTGTTCTCACGCACCACAGACTATGTATAAAATACGAGGTGGGTCTGGGTTCCGTACACATGTACAAAGCATGGAACTTGGAGGGTCCTACTAAAGCGCGTCAACAAGCGTCAACAAGCGTCAACAAGTTTTAGTAATCGTTAAGTGCGCGTCAACAAATTTTGTATAGGCCTTTGAACAATAAAAACAGCTTTATATGGTAAAAAAATCAATAATGAACATCTTCTGCATATCAATTAAAGTTAAAATTATTTTAAAACTTGGTTTTTTGAACGCGAAATGTACGCCGAATTTGTCGATAAAAGTAGGCCGCCATCTTGTTTGGATGGCGCTGTAGACTTCGCGCATGCGTAGTATGGCTCTTTACACTTCACGCATGCGTAGTACGGCTAGCTACACATAAACAAGATGGCGGCCACCTTTTATCGACAAATTCGACGTACATTTCGCGTACAAAAAACCAAGTTTTAAAATAATTTTAACTTTAATTGATATGCAGAAGATGTTCATTATTGCTTTTTCTACCATATAAAGCTGTTTTTATTGTTCAAAGGCCTATACAAAATTTGTTGACGCGCACTTAACGACTACTAAAACTTGTTGACGCTTGTTGACGCTTGTTGACGCGCTTTAGTAGGACCGAACTTGGAGTGGAAGAAAGACAATGTTGTTGACACTTTGGGAGTAAAATATGACGACAATTTGTGTCGTTTTATGTCATTTGCGATGTTCATAAAATAATGTAATGGACTTGTTCGTAGTTTGTGAAAGAAATGTAGCCGTGGATAACCTCTTGCAAGTACAAACGGAATGATTCCGCTGGATTGTGACTTGGTAACTTCGGAATTTGAGATGGTCATGATGGTGGAGAAATGAGATGTAAATGTGAGTGTGCTGTACGTTGTTCTACTTTCTAAATTTTAGTTCTATTTCTGATGCAGTAATAAAATCGGCTTACGATTTTAGTTAACGTTAGATCGGTTTATTTTCTTACTTAAACGATAACCATTTAAACGTTAAGTTGTAAAGTTGTAGCTGACTGGCAAAATTAAATTGAGATAATTATTTTTTTTAAAAGGACAATTGACATTTGTTGTGAAAAATTTAATAATCTGTATCCTCGAGTCACCATAATCGGCACAGGTAACGCTTAAAACGCGCGCGCGTTTTCCAATGCAGATTGAATGCCAGTGCGTCAAAATAGATCCTCGTCGTTTTAGGTGGACTGACGATACGTATGGGCAAATTTAATCAAGTATTTTATTGCATTTGCACTTATTTATTTTGCAGTGGCTATCGTTACGGCAGCCGTAACGCATTTCCCATTTTCTATAGTTACGGTAGTACTGCAACTTTTATAAAAACATGAGAAGAAAATATAAAATTAGGAGGAAAAAAGTGAATTTGAACGTTATGAAATTCGGACTTTATTTCCCTTTTAAAAAAAATCCTCCAAAGCCTCAGGTTAGAAAAGGAAAAAAATTTGAGTGCAAAATGAGATCTATGCGAACCCGCAACCTTGCGGTGCAAAATCCTACCATATGTCGACTGAGCTGTCGCACTGCTCGATAAAATGTGGGGAAACAAATAATTATATACCTGCGTGCGTATCAAAAAAGTATCGTAGAGGGCGCTAAACAACGGCTGCCGTAACGATAGCCACTTCGTATTTATTTATCACGGTACTGGTTGGCGTAGCGGTACTTTCCTCGCCTTCCGCAATTATGACCCGGGTTGAATTCCTGCCTGGGCCAAAATGTGGATTGGGTTTTCAGTCCCAACTTGATTCCAGTCCCTGCGTTGTTTTCCGCAGAATACTCTTCTGTGATTTTCCTCCCACATCTAAAACTGTAATTTCTTCACATTAATTGTGTTCTCTTTACTGGGCCCCATGGGAGACTAGTGAATTCCACTGAATGGGCTGCCCATTTAAAATAAAATAAATCAATTGTTTCAATACATTGAATGTCCTGTTTGTTTTAAGATATCAAACAAAACAATTAAGAAATTAAAGGGAATATACAACATTTGCAAACATCGAAAAATAAAACTACCAAGTTTTTGCGAAATACCTTAATAGGATGTTGGTAAATGACAGTCTAAAGCATCCTGTAAAATTATGGCACCTGGTATACTGTCATTTTCAAGAAAAGTGGTATTTTTGTATCAATTTCCAACGCTGATCGGCCGATCAGCGTTGGAAACAACTGGCTTTTTTTCAAATACTGGCCCCAATTGACCATTGCACTTGTTTGCAATCGATTACACACCTATGAACGGGTACGAGCCAGCTAGACTGGTTCCCTGACCTTACAATTCCCCAATGTATGTAAACTGCTCTGTTTCTTCTGATATGGAGTCAAGGAACCAGACTACAGGAAAATGATCGTTTTTCTTGGTTTTTATAGCATTTTCGAACCCAAAACCTCCAAAAAGTCAGTGTTACTATATTTGCTTTATATTTCCAACCCCCCAATTCCATCCATTTCTGAAAATTACAGCAAAAGCAAATGATGTATATTCCCTTTAAGCATCGTCTAGCTGGAGTTACCTCAGCCCTAAATTTTATCAAATGACAACCCAACGGTGAAATTTAGGGCTGAGGTAACTCCAGCTAAACATCCTCCACATTAAGAAAACATTGTTTTGAGTAAGAGCTGAGAGTGAGAATTGGGTGATGGAGTTTGATCAGAAGTAATGCGAGCGTGAAGCCTGGCAGAGTGGGGTTCAGGGCCCTTCATTGTAGACGCTCTGTGATGCGATTTGAGGCAATTTCTGACCACCTTAACCAATTTTTTTGTTGAAAAAAAGATCATCATTTAAAGGGAAAATACAACATTTGCAAACATCAAAAATAAAACTACCAAATCATTTTGAAATACCTTGCTGGACTGTTAGTGAATGACAGTGTAAAGCATCCTGTAAAATCATGGCACCTGGTATACTGTCATTTTCAAGAAAAGTGGTATTTTTGTATCAATTTCCAACGCTGATCGGCTGATCAGCATTGGAAAAAACTGGCTTTTTTTCAAATACTGGCCCCAATTGACCATCGCACTTGTTTGCAATCGATTACACACCTATGAACGGGTACAAGCCAGCTAGACTGGTTCCCTGACCGTACAATTCCCCAATATATGTAAACTGCTCTGTTTCTTCTTAAAAGGAGTCGGGGAACCAGACTACAGGAAAATGATTGTTTTTCTTGGTTTTTATAGCATTTTCGAACCCAAAACCTCAAAAAGTCAGTGTAACTATATTTGCTATATATTTCCAACCCCCCAATTCCATCCATTTCTGAAAATTACAGCAAAAGCAAATGATGTATATTCCCTTTAAACAATCATTTTCGAGAATTTTTTTAAGCATGAGAAATCCTATGTGGGCATGAGAGTGTGCGAATAACCTAAAATGCATGAGTCTCAGGCTCAATAACTTAGGCCTGATAATGTATTTTTTTACATTGGCTAGTGTCTGGTGACCTCAGTTGTACCAAAGTTTTAGTAACGGACCTTCACTGATATTGCATATGATGAGGAAAAAAAGTTGCGTCAGGATGCAACATTCTTTCAGTCCAAGGCCTGGAAAAACAACGGAGACAAAACAAACATTTACTGTCTGAAGAAGATAACTGATAACAACTCATTGTGTCAATTGGATGTCAGATAAGAATTGTGATAAAAAAAAACTATCCTGTTTGGCAATTAGTCCAATACCACACATCACAGATCTGTCTAAGCAAGACCAAAATGTAAAAAGAAAAATGCTCTTTTTCTGCAAAAAAAGAAGATTCATCAATGAAAGTTTACTAAACTGTTTAGTGCGTCTGATTTTATTCAAGACGGAAACTTTAAGTTTTCCATTCAAACACCCCCCCCCCCCCAGTCTGAGTATCACCTGTTATCCACGGAGCCAAGTCCTGTATAACGTCTGATGTCTTAGACATGCAGATTTATGCAAGCCGCGCACCAGCCAATCGGAGACGACTTTACTAAATCATGACATCATTTCATTCCCAAATCAGGACTAAAACTGATTGGTCAATTAGAATGCAGTGTTTTGTAATACTACAACAGCCGGGCGCGCATTGGTGTAACATGATACAGAGCGCGTGACACAGGTTTTTTATCCATGTCTGTGACGCGCAACAGGTGAATGACTGGAGACCCAATATAGAAAGTGCCCACTGATTGGTCAAAATCTGGAGATCAAGATGCGGTTGTCTTGCATAATTAATCAGCAAATCTGCTCACATATCATAGACCGTGGCTTTACAATACATAGACTACCCCCCCCCCCCCCCTTCCCAGATTGAAAAACCGTTTTCATCCTATTATCCTTGATGGAACAACTGCTTGTTTTAGTACGTTTTATTGGGAAATTGTTGGGGGGGGTTTTTTTTTTGGGGGGGAGGGGTTTCGGGTTGGCAGTCTTTTTCAAAATCCCTGGAGCCTGACTCCACCACCCCGTCCGCATAATCTGACCTTCCTGCAAACATACCGGAACATTCTGTGCAAAGTTGTCCTTGCAGTCAAAATCAATCACATGAGACTGTTTTCCACAGTTCCCATTCTATATAAAGCAGGATTGACTGGCTGTGACTGTTTATATAACTTGATACAGCTACCGGTACGCTTTGACTGTAGGTGATTGATAAGCCAGCTGTGCTCACTTCTTGCCTGCTTTTGTCTGTTGAGTGAATTTGACTAGTCACGGGTACTTGCTTGAAATATGATCCGGCTGTTGGTGACTGGCCTAGATGCAAAAGGCATGGCAGGGGAAGTGGATGGATTGTTTGACCTTGGAGGGTTGAACTTGTACCTTTAAAAAAATGATAAATTTAGAGAATAGATGGTACATGTACAACCACACTGTGTTCTTAAAATGTTGGAGGCTCGAATACTTCCCTGAACAATTTTAATACTGCCCTGAACAATTTAATAATAATATTGTGGACTGAACATCAAGGCTGAGAAGTGTAGTATTGAATTCACCCTTTACAAACTCAAGTTTCAACAAAGCTAACAACATATCCAGGATTCAAACTGATTCGAACCAGCCAACCGATCCCGCAAGCTCGGTGGTCGAGTGGTAAGACGTCTGCACTAGAAAGCAGGAGGTCATAGGTTCGAGTCCCACCCGAGTGATTTTTCCATCTTTCACTCGGGAGGTAACACACTGAGTATACAGTGTTTATACGTCAGAGAAGGGCAAAATCTAATATTGATTTATAACCATGATTCTAACAAGCTTACACAAAAAAAAGACATCAGTCAATAATATGATAAATAACCTTCACATGCACATAGTTTTAAATCTTACAATTACAGTGACACAGCGTGCGTTGTAAATCACAAGCAGTGACTGAATCTAAATCACATCGTCTAGTCCCGTTGTAGACATTTCAGCACCATATGCTGTTTATTATTACATGCTCTGCTTTTGGGCCACAGTGGATTAAATTTTCCAAATTAGGCCTGAAATGCTTGACGTGTCTGTCGTATATCTTGTACACTTGTACACAGCATCCGCCAATCTTTGTCTGTGCTGTAGAGTTGTTTATTTTTCTAGGCTCCTAAGTCCAACCGGAGCTTAAAGCAATACTCCGAAGCTTAAGAAGTTTCATTGATGGCATAGCATACATTGAAATAATAAAAGTTAATTTTAAAAAAAATGAAGGCAATATTTTTATACTTCAACTGAGAACAAAGTTTTCTCTAAAGGAGTATCTTGACATCTTTTGGACACCCTAGAATTTAATTTAGATACCACATTTGTATGCAAATGATTGTAAATGTATGCATAAACTTCAGCAACTTGGACATCCTGTTTGTCAATTTAAGCCAAATTTGGACATATCCAATTTTTAAAGTGCTGTCTAAAGCTGCTTGAGATCGGATGCCTGCTTTGAAAATTAGAAACTTTCTGACATATTTTTTTCCAAAACTGAAACTAAAGATGTAGTTCCTTTAATGTATTTATGACAAAGAGGTTGACCAGTTCCTGAAAGCAGTAGTCTTGTGTAAATACTCCCTATTCATCCTTTTGTGTCCATCCAACAACTGTCAACCACCACAAGGCTATATCCAAAGTACATTCTAACAGCCAGTTATTGTGTCTCTAAAATCCCTCTTTCATCCACACTGCCTAGACCGACTGATAGCTCAGCCTGCTTGTCATGCCTATCGACACGTCTGCTTTGTTGGTGTCAGCACAGACATCCCTGCGTGATATATTTTTTCAGCCCTGGACGCATGTTTGCGCACACGGCGACCCAGTTTTTCCATTGTGCGATATGAATACATATTTGTGCGGCTAACCACAACGATTATACTGCAATTTTACGAGTTCGTGATCGTGAATGAAAAATAGTTTGCCACTGTATTTGCGCTTTATGCCCAGGGTGAGTTTGAGTCTGCTTACAAATTCTGTTTTTGTGTGCATATGGAAGGTTTGTTTTGTTAGGGGTGATATTGTGGTTTTTTGAATTGCCATATTTCGAATTCTGTAGCTGCAATAACCACACGTCGGCTATCTCAACCACAGAAGTGAGTGCCATTGAAGACCGTGTAATCGTAGAAACGTTCTTATCTTTACAGGTACGGAGAGAGATATGCCATCAGTCATCGATGTGCTTCTCACAAATGACGAAGCAGAAATCAGATGCTGAATCTTGTGTTTTACATCCACGCCAAACCCCACAGCAGAACCAGTAACGGAACGCAGACAACATGACCCAGCCAGGCACCAATCACCACAGGCCCACCAATCACAATCGATCGAAGACGGCCCCTGCCGGGGGCGGGGTCAGACCAAGGAAGAACGGTTTTCATCATCATCATAACCAGGAGAAAGTCGACGCTCAGAACAACGTCTTAAAGAAGCCAGAGGATGCATCAAATACGGATTGGGACATCAATATTCCCATCCCAAAACTCTCAGTGAGAAACTCCTCTTTCTTGGTCGCCAGCTTGTCTCTCCTCTGCTATTTGAACAGTTGCTATGGTGATTTTGTCTTCGACGATACGGAGGCGGTGCTTAGCAACAAAGATGTCAAGCCGGAGACACCGATCATTGAGGTACTCCAGGATGACTTTTGGGGGGAGAGGATCACGAAGAACCACAGTCATAAATCCTACAGACCTTTGACTGTGTTGTCCTTTAGGTAAGACCTTTCCTATGAAGCTGTAGGTCTATGTTATAAGTAGAAAAGCAAATGCAATTTTTTATGTTAAGCACAGTTCATGAAAACTTAATGTGCATGTTGTCCCAACCAGTCATACATTTGCATCACATAAGATTTTGGCTGTTGGCCCTTTTTTTTGGTCTTAAAAATCTTCAGTGTTCAGTATGTCAGGCATTCTGGCAAAATGAGACAGAACTGGGCAGAGGTCGAAATGAGGGTTTGCAGGTATTTACTATTAGGAAAGAGAATAAACTTCTCCTTACAATACTGTTTGTTGCACTTCAATAGGACATTCCGTTGACAAGTTATGGCTCTTTAAAGTTTGTATGACATACGTAAAAAAAGTAAAATACTGAAAAAAGCCATTAAAGTTTTGAGTTTTGTATTCGAGAAAATGAAAGCTACTAATTGTTTTTCCTTAAAAACACTTTTATTCCACACAGTTTTTAACTAGATTTTTAACATGTGTAGTAGACATATCAAAGATTACAAATATGAAGGAATCTGAAAGTAAAAAGAAAAAAAAAACCCAAAAAGCCTCCCCCAATTTGTGCCCAATTTCCGGACGCCACCGTTTCTGAATTTCGGATTAAATTTTATGAAACCGAAATTGTTCACAGAGGTTAAATAGCAAGCATTAACAAGGTAAAAGTACTAGTATTTTACTGCATGAATTTGAGGTTTGTCATTAAAGAGGTTTGGCAACACTACACGAGGAAAGTCGGGTAAGCTTTGAAGTGCGCCACGTTAGGGAACACGACTATACTGGGCCGAAATGGCAACTAGCCAATATGAAATACAGTGCATTATATATAGTGTATAATTATTTTTTTAAACTTTCTTCTTTCTATAAATTTTGTTTAGCAATATGTTGTAGCAGCTTGTGCAAAAGCCATGAGAACACACTAGTGGTGTGCATGTACGGGGAGTTCTATTGAAGTGTAAAACACAGGCACCCGGGTATCTGTAAACGAAAGCCAACCCCAAAATTCCAATCCCAGAAGTTGTCAGGAGTACTTTATAGCTTTATTGTGTAAACTGCAACTTTCGCAAGAGTCTCTGTCGCGTGGTGACCTGCTCGTAAATGTGAAATCTGTTTTGGTTTCCCATGTAGCCTGGTTTTCAGTTTGAGAATTCCCCTCAAATGGCATTCAAACCCTTTCCTTTTCATTGTCTGAGAAGTTTCTAAGTAATGTGAAGTTGGTTACGGGTACCTGATCCCATGAGCTGGAACCGGTTCCTGACATCAGTGGTCGGGTACCCCTAGAACACACGCAAGTTTGCCTTGGTGTTTGTCTTAAAGGGAAGATACAACATTTGCAAACGTCAAAAAACAATATATTAAATTATCACGAAATACCTTACTCGATTGTAAGGGAATGACAGTTTAAATCATCCTGTAAAATTGTGTCTCCTGGTGTGCTGAAATTTTCAAGAAAATGTGTATTTTTCCAACACTGGTCGGCCGACCAGCGTTGCAGAAACTTGCTTTTTTCAAAAACCGTTCCGAAGTTTTTATAACAGTTGTTCTGCATTTTCTTTGCAATTGGTTACACACAGGTGAAGTGGTACAAGCCTGTCAGACTGACCTTATACAATTCCCCAAAGTCTATAAATTTCTCTGTTTCATCTTAAGTAGGGTCAGGGACCCAGACTACAAGAACATGATTGGTTTTCTACGTTTTTCCAGCATCTACAAGCCCAAAACATGAAACAAGTCAGTTTAACAATATTTGCTATAACATGCTTAGGCCAACGAAAAAAAGTCTCCGGTTTCTGGTATGCACGCGCGTCGCCGTAGCCATGCGCGTCGGCAAAATGAAAAAGTTTTTTTCAATGAAAGATGATGTCTCAAAACCGCCAAACTCACTGGTTTGACTGGAATCCTGCTGCTGCACAATTTTAACGTGTTTTTAGATTGGGTTATGGTCGAGAATAAGCTTTATGTGGCCTCTCTGGACTCCCATATATTTGTACTAAGTTTAGTCGGGCACCATTTGCAGTCATCAGCCGACATTTGAAGCAAAAAAATCAGGTAAAAAAAAAAAAAGCCGCGTCGCCACACCACTTTTTGGGCAAGCTCCATACCAGAAACCGGAGACTTTTTTTTTTGGCCTTATCCTCCAAATCCATTTATTTCTGAAAATTGCAGCAAAAGCAAATGTTGTACATTCCCTTTAAAAGTGAGAAGGAAAAAAATGAGACAAACTAGGACTCCTGATATTCCGTTAAGCTACAAACACCATCAATTTATTCTCTGTGAATAAAGTGCTTTTTTTATATTTCTTGTTTCAGGTTGAATTACATCCTGAGCGGCGGCTTTCACCCATTCAGCTTTCATCTCACGAACGTCGTCTTACATACCATCATTAGCGTCTTCTCGCTTCGCATCTTTTCCATCCTCCTCAGCGATTTGTCTTGTCTTCATCGTCGTCTGGAAGCGGAGAAGTTTCGTCGTAAGACCTTTCCGGCGCCCAGAGCTAGCTTACTGTGTGCTCTGCTGTTCACTGCACATCCCATACACACGGAAAGCGTAAGTGGTGTTAAGTCATTAGCATTGTAACATTGTATTACATTGTTTTTCACAGCTTTTAAAGAAATACATTGCAAATATATATACATATTTAGAGAGTATAGTCCATTAGCTTTTCAACTACGAAAAAATCTTTCCGATCGGGTAAATATTGAATGAGTTATTGCGAATTGGGAATACCGCTTTTTAATTTTGTCCACGGTGACTGATATTTTGACTGTCGCAATAAGAACACGGACTGAAACTTGCATAATGTGAAAACAGGCTACCAAGCATATGGCAGAGACATTATATGTACAGGTTGAGTCAAAAACGAAAGTGACCGAATTTTAAAAAAAAAAAAAAAAAAAATTTTTTTTTTTTTTTTTTAAATATGTGGCTCGCTCCATTTCATAAAATAACAAAAAATAACATAGGGATAAAGTACATGTTATTGATTAATAACTGAAAATTTGATGTACTCTTTTCCCAAGTTATGACTATTTTGATAAAGAGATTTCAAAATTCAACTCTCCACGACTGATCTTTACCGTTCTACGAACTGATGAATACCCATTAAATACAATAAAACATGAACGTTTTTCTCACCTGCATGAATGAATGAAAAACTTGCACAGGAAAACAGACCAAAAAACGCCGTCGATATTTCAGAAAAAAAGAGTTGGCTTGTTCCTCATATTCAAAACACAAAATCTGACAGTAAAAATAATGTTTCAGTCTTGCCTCAAATGATTAAAATCTCATTTGTATTTGAATGCCTATGTGTAATCTGTAATTCTCACTCAGCTCAATAGCTTCCAATGACATTCCATGGACAGCTATAAAAATAGGTTCTGTTAGTAAAAATGTCTAATACTGATAGCATGGATCAATTTCAGTAATTCTTTTTTTTTTTCAGATGAGTGGAAGAACATGCTATTTTAAGTACTTCACTCAACTTGTGTTTGTCAAATTTGATTGCTTTTTAACAATTGTTTTTAATCCAGGTCACTTCATTTCTGTTTCACCCTGTATATTAGTGGCAGGCTGGTTCCTTACTCAATCCTTCAAAATCTTTTGGAGGACCTCGGAGGATTAGATTTAATGTTATTATGTTTTGGGGTTTTTTTTTTATCAGGTGGCTGGAGTTGTCGGTAGAGCAGATCTCTTGTCGGCTGCATTCTTCTTTCTGTCATTTTTCTTCTACGTTTCTGCATTACAAAAAGGTATGGCAGTTCAGATAACTGAATGAATGTCAATCCGCTCCGTTCACAAGTACCCCCTCACCGGCAAAGCAAGTACAGGTGGGGGTGACCGACCGACGCCATCTTGCCTGACTGCAATTCATTTGCTGTGAAGCGCGGCCACTGCGTGTGCATAGTACAAATCCCTTGGTGTACGTGCGTCACACACAAGGAACGGTGCGCGTCAACCAGCAAAATGTCCCGCCCATGGGACGTCGTTGCTAGGTAAAAGGGCGCCCTCTTTTGTCGGCGCACGGAGCCCATACGGCAACAAACACAACCAAACAGATACTCTCAGTTAACAACTTTATATGAAGGGTGTAGCTACAATCCCGTCCAAAATTGGTTAGGACACGTCCACACAATGAGCATACCCTCCCGCGGTCCCTTGCTCCCCCGCTCCCCCGGTTATTGTTGTCATCTCACGCTTGAGCACAGACCGCGCAATGAGAGACAACATTGGCCGGGGGCCGGAAGATGGGGGCCCAGCGGGTTTTGGCCGGGACTGTAGGTAACTTGACTCAGGCCAGTACCCCCCCTCCCCCCCTTCCCAATGATCCTGCAGATCTCTGTCTGGGTTTTTGTTGTGAAATTAAACAGAATATGCATAAAACTCGGCCAACTCGTCCAAAGTAAACTAGCACAACCCTTTTCTACGTTAACAAGTAAGCAATAATTAGAATCTACTTATACAGGGTGAGTAAAAAAAACCCGAAACCCAAATGTCAGGACTATTATTTTAATGAAGTTCTGCATGTAGCACTTTCAAAATCTAGGATAAGAAAGCCCAATTCATAAGCTTTCTTTTAGTACAAGAATCATTCAAATCAGTCATGTACTTTTCAAGTTACGGAATTTTAAACACAACCACCGTTTTAAGGTTCTGTCCACGGATCACAAAAAAGGTGTGCATTCTTTCAGCAAAACGAAAACAATTCACATACATCCTTATGTGATTTGTTTTCGTTTTGCTGAAAGAACACTGAACTTTTTTGTGATCCGTGGACAGAACCTTAAGACGGTGGTTGTGTTTAAAATTCCGTAACTTGAAAAGTACATAAGTGATTTGAATGATTCTTGTACTAAAAGAAAGCTTAGGAATTGGGCTTTCTTTTCCTAGATTTTGAAAATTCTACATGCAGAACTTCCCTAAAACAATGGTCCCAACATTTGGGTTTAATTTTTTTTTTTATCACCCTGTATAAATGTCAATCTCACACCAACTGTTCCTGAACATTTTCTTTGTTTCCCTATTCAGATGGTGGCCATTTTCTCCTCAGCTTGTTGTATTCGATATTGTGCTGTACTGCCTCAATGCTGTGCAAAGAACAGGGCATTACTGTCATTGTGAGTACCATTTAAAGCCAGAGTCCATCATTTGCAGCTATCCAAAAAGTAACTGGCGTAATTATTGTTGAAAAACATACTTGATTGAAAGATAGTAAGGGGACTAAACTCCCTGTGAAATTATTTTTTCTGGCAAGCTGTAATTTTGAAGAAATCAACGAAAGAAGGCCATTCCAACGGTGTGTCTTAAGAAGCACCGTTGGAAATGTCCGTTAGTAGTTTGTTTTTTTATTCGGCGAAGCGCGCGCAAGCGTTGACACGATGGACACGCGCGCGCGGTTGCTGTTATTCGTCGAATCGGTGCGCGACATCGCGTAGCTGCAATCGGCTCAGTGAGAACATGTCTCGAGCGCTGAATTCAGGGCCAATTCAAAACATGATCAGCAACTTTTGATTTGAAATCGAGATCCTAGAATGTTGTTTTTCTCAAAATATACAGCTGAAGCTGAGCTGAAACTTCATCAGGTTAGTTGTTCAGCATCCTTCTTTAGATTTTGAGCACTTTTGTTGCTTCAAACAAACAAAATGCACAAATTACAAATGATGGACTATACCTTTAACTTTTGAAAACAGGAACAGTGAGACATTAGGTTAGTTTCCTTTCAACCAGACCTTTGAAATAGGATAAGTAAACAATCCAAAACATACAATTTCGGGGATTTCAGGCGGTTATGCCCCTTTAATTTCTCGATGTTTATACTTGTATCAATTTTACAGAACTTCCTAGAGCTTATTTTCTTTGTACTGAAAAAAAAATCACCTGAAATGGCAAAAACTTGAACTTTACATAGTGGAGTATCGGTATCGTTTCGGTTTGCGGTAACACCATGTGGTAATAACTACTGCTTAGAAGATATTTAGTTCTGAAAAGAACTTGTCTTGCTTACTATCAACTTTCGCTAAGTAGTTTTTGTTCTGATAAGAACAGTCCTGCTTTAAGTTCTAAAAGAACTTGTCTTTGGTCTCAACGTTTCGACTAGCCTGCTCTAGTCATCGTCAGGAGACTGTCGATAACTAGAGCAGGCTCCTGCTAAATATCTTCTAAGCAGTAGTTAATACCACATGGTGTTGCCGCAAACCGAAGCGATATAAATTTGAACTTTCTTGCTTTCATACCCAGGGCGTCTGTATAGTGTACGATGTCATCCTCAATTGTCAAGTGGACATGCTCCGAATCTTCCAGCGTTCTCAGATCCCAACCAAATCCCAGGGTTCCAGTCATCCAAGATGGCTGCCCAGCCTAGCAACCAGACTGAGCATTATGACCTTGTGCGCTGTAGTTTTATTGGCCGGGAGGTTTTTCATAATGGGAAGCGGACCGCCGCCGTTTCAACCATCGGACAACCCCGCGTCATTCGCTGATGGAATTCTTACCCGGGTTAGTTATTTAATTTAACCCTAACTCCCCAGCCTAATTTACTAGGAACCATACCCATTCAGGCAAATTCCAACACCCACATGGGAAATCCTACACACACACTGTTGGACTTAGTTTCTGGAGGTATGCCAACCCCAGTGTAAAAGACCATCAGTTTAGGGGTGCTGTACCTATCCCAACAGATTTAAACAAAACCTGCTGTTGGGCTTTGATGGGTTGAGTTCGGTTAGGGTTAATGTGTCTATGTAGGTTAAAGGTAGAGTAGATCATTTGCAGCTATCCAAAAAGTAGCTGACGAAATTATTTTTTGAAAATCTTACTTGGTTTAAAGATAGTAGTGGCAATGAACTCCCTGTGAAATTATTCTTTCTGGCATGCTGTCATTTTGAAGAAAACAATAAAAGAAGGCCATTTCTAGCGATGCTTCAAGTGACGCATTTGTTGGAAATTACCATTAGTAGTTGGTTTGTAATGCGGCGAATCCGTGAGTGGGTGCATGCAAGCGTTGCTATTATTCGTTGGTTCAGTTCGTGACATCGCGTAGCTGCAATCGGCTGCATGAGAACGTGTCCCAGATGCTATTTCCGGCACAAATTAAACATGACTCTGCATCTTTTGAATTGAAATTGAGATCCTAGAATATTGTTTTCTCAGAATATACAGCATTAAAGGGAAAATACAACATTTGCAAACATCAAAAAATAAAACTACCAAATCATTTTGAAATACCTTGCTGGACTGTTAGTGAATGACAGTGTAAAGCATCCTGTAAAATCATGGCACCTGGTATACTGTCATTTTCAAGAAAAGTGGTATTTTTGTATCAATTTCCAACACTGATCGGCGTTGGAAAAAACTGGCTTTTTTCAAATACTGGCCCCAATTGACCATCGCACTTGTTTGCAATCGATTACAAACCTATGAACGGGTACGAGCCAGCTAGACTGGTTCCCTGACCTTACAATTCCCCAATGTATGTAAACTGCTCTGTTTCTTCTTATATGGAGTCAGGGAACCAGACTACAGGAAAATGATTGTTTTTCTTGGTTTTTATAGCATTTTCGAACCCAAAACCTCAAAAAAGTCAGTGTAACTATATTTGCTATATATTTCCAGCCCCCCAATTCCATCCATTTCTGAAAATTACAGCAAAAGCAAATGATGTACATGTACATGTATATTCCCTTTAACAGAGCTAAAACTTGATCAGTTTAGCACCCGTCTTTATACTTTGAAAACTGTTTTTGCTTCAAATAACAAAAAATGCACAAATGACATATGATCTACCCTACCTTTAATATAAAAATTGAAACTTTACATGTTGTGTACCAAAAATGAAGTTTGTGTGAGGAAGGGGAAAACTTGTTCTTATTTCTTTCAAATTTTCTTTTTAAACATCTGTCCTCTGTTCTTCTCCACAGGTAACAAACTATAACTTCATTTACGCCCTGAATCTGTGGTTGCTAATCTTCCCCCGCTGGCTGTGCTTTGATTGGTCGATGGGCTGTGTGTCGTTGATACAATCAGCCAATGACATCAGGCTGCTTGCCCCTGTTGCACTGTGGGTACTTTTGGGGGGTCTGATCTACAGGAGCGTGGTAGGCCCACCCAGCCACGGTAAAAGGTAAACAACTTGGTGATTTCTGTCCAGACTTTATACTTCTTAGTCTGATGAGAATGCTAGTGAAATTTTCAGGCCAGTTATTTTTCTTACTTTTCTTTAATTATTATACCAGACCCCTTTGTATGCTGGTTAGAATAAGTGAATAAATGTGTGCTCTGGAGGTTTCTATCACTCAGTTTAAGACCACTTAGAGTCTGGGTGCTGATAATTACCCGAGCCGGAGGCGAGGGTAATTATCAGCACCCAGACTCTAAGCGGTCTTAAACAGAGTGATAAATACCGACTGAGCACATATTTATTCCCATTCATAAATAACTTTTCGTTAAAAAAAAATCAAATAATTTGTTCAAAAATTCCCGATTTTGTTCAACAAGTTGACTTCATGCTTTTTGAAACATCCCTCTAGCAAAATAATGGAGTGTTCAGCTGGCGAGTAAGATGTAAACAACCCTTTTATGGAGATTGACACGCGCTTAGCATGTTCTGCGCGATGTCGCGCAGAACGCACCTGGGGCGTTGCGTTTTGAATTTAGAACTATAACATTCTGACTCGCTGGTAGTCTTGCGCATGCCTACGTGAGGATTGTGAACGTTCAACCAATGAAACGGTAAGAGGCACTGAATTTTTAGGAGTCCACATTTTATTGTGACACTGGAAAAGTGTTTAAGACCAGCTAGCCATGTCTTTATCATCCGTTTAAGACAGGCCACGTGATGGGCTCTCGACCAATAGGTATTGAATAGCTAAACTGTCTGAGGTATTTATGAATATCATATTCAGGTATACATTTTTACGAGAGTGAAGATTTTATAGCGATTGATTTTATAGGCTGGATGACTTGTGATAGACCTGTGAGATTTAAGATTCATTATCCAAATAACCTGACAACAATCCGTCTTAAATCTTCAATTTGTCTCCCTCATCATCACCAGGGTCTTAACGATGGCCTTGGCCCTCCTCATCATTCCGTTTCTCCCTGCATCCAATCTCTTTCTACGCGTCGGCTTCGTGATCGCTGAGCGAGTCTTGTATCTACCCAGTCTTGGCTTCTGTATGTTACTGACGCTTATGGTTGATGCGGTCTCGCGTAGTTCGGTATCCAAGAAGGTAAGCTGCTAAGCAGAAATAATTGCTAAGCATTTATGTAAGTTAAGCAGAAATTGGCAGGAGAAGGAAACAGTTATAATAATAATAATAACTGTATTTATAAAGCGCCTTTTGCCAGAGGATACAAAGCGCTGGGGGAGAATGCAACCAAAGCCAAGTAAATGAAGTATATGAACATATGAGACCTATTATGTAGCACTTTTTTGTTCTGTGATGCGATCAAGCTAAATGAGAATCGTTTGTCGACCCTGGTCTTTTTTTTTTTAACAGTTTTGAAAAGAGCACAATCTCAGCATTACTGACGTGAAAACCGCATGCTGATACCATCTTTAGTTCAAAACTTATGCAAGTCGGAACACCAAGAGATGTGATGAAGTGATGTGATGAAGTGGCCTTATTTTGGCCTGAATCTCCAAATGAAAGTTCCCGTCAAATGACTCATTCAGCTTATTCACATGCACATTCACATATACCTCCAATAATTTCAACTAGTAGCCTATAATTTTTTTCAGAAAGCAAGATAAAACATTTTTTTTTGCTTATGAGTTCAAAAACTGAACCCTGAACTTCTGTTGAAGCAACGGTTTTCAGAATGGTTAATAATGTTCTATTGTCTTGTAGTTTTGCAAAGTGCAATGCATAATTTTATTGTTCAAATTCTACTTTTTGGTTTTTTTTATCTTAGGCTGTGCAATGTCTACTAGTGATTTTATTGGCTTACTACGTCGGTAGATGCATCCAACGTAATCAAGATTGGATGACAGAGGAGAGGTTGTATAAGGCTGGCTTAGACGTATGTCCACGCAACGCTAAGGTAAAATTAATGTACAAAGCGTGGCATTACTTTCTGTTGTCGTACTGTCTTCCTAATGTACAGAGGTCTGAGAGAATGTTTAGATTTTTGAATTTTTTTTTTCCTTATAGAAAACAGTAAAGTTTGTATTTTATTACAATTTCTATTTCTTTGTTTGGAGAAGAAATCCTTTCTTTGTAAAAAAATATATCAAAATAAATTATAAGTGTCACATTTGAGTTTCCTTGAACGTTGTTGTCATGGAAACAGCTCCGTGCATGGGCGTCGCCAGGATGGTGCAAGGGAGGCGCTTGCCCCTCTCCCCCCCCCCCCCCTGGAAAAGCAACCAAACAAAAGAGAGAAAAAAGAAGAAAACAAAAAAGAAGAAGGCGAGGTGCAAAGTCATATTGCTGTTAATATGCACATTTAACAACTTGGGCATCCTCAGGGGTGTCATTGGGGATGGGGTGGGCAAATGTCCCCCGCCCACCCTCGAAAAAAAATAGAGACTGTGCTAGAGAAAGTACAAGGATTTTTGGAAATAATGTGCTTTGCCCCCCTCCAGAAAAAAATCCTGGTGACGCCCATGGCTGCATGCTTACTCAGTTAGTTAATAACAACTTATCAGATGATGAAGAGTTCAAATTACATTTTATTTTTTCAAATGAAATGTTTCACTCGTCTTTATTCAGGTCCATTATAACATTGGTAAGAATGCAGCTGATAGTGGGAGTCTGGATGAAGCAGTTACTTACTACAGACAAGCACTGAGGTAAATCAGCTATTGAATAAGGGAATAAATGTGTGTTCGGGAGGTATTATAACACTCTGTTTAAAACCAGTGTGAGTCTGGATGGGTGATAATTACGCGAGGCAAAGCCGAACGTAATTCCACCTCCATGGTCGCACGTTCTGCGCGATGTCGCGCTAAACGCAGCTGGGCTGGTGTAGTGAGAATTTTGGACCATGAAATACTGATTCACTTGTAGTACATTGCGCATGCATACGTGAGGAATGTGAACGTTCAACCAATGAAACGTTAAAAGGCACCGGATTTCATGGGAGTCCAAATTTCATGTGACACTGGAAGAGTGTTTAAGACCAGCCAGCCATGTCTTTATCATCCATTTAAGACCGGCCACGTGACGGGCTCTCGACCAATAGGAATGCGTAAACTGTCTTAGGTATTTATGAATATTCATTTCAAACTGTGTGACTGTTTCTTTCGGTTTCGGCACTGACGTTTTGATCCTACTTGAATCTTTCTTATGTCAAGTTCTCTGTTTTCTTTTAAATTAACGTCACAGTTTGAATCCTGTCTATGATCAAGCCATGAACAATCTTGCCAACCTTCTCAAGGACCAGGGACATCTTACTGAGGCAGAGGAGTTGCTCCACAAGGCCGTACAAATCAAGTAAATCTACTACGGCTGCATCCGAATTACCTGGCAGCGGCTTGCGATTACACACGCATCTATGGAAGCGGCTGAATTCACTTTCCATGTATACGTGTGCTACCAATAGCCATAGCCATACAATTCTGGCAAAGCCTTAACTGAATATTCAGTTAGTCTATTAGTCACTGTGCCATAGAAGTAGCAAATTAAAGTAAACTGATTTTGTGCATTGTTTTTGTTTGAAGAAACAAAAGAGGTCAAATTCTAAAGACGGGTGCTTAACAACTAAGGCCAAAAAAAAAGTCTCCGGTTTCTGGTATGGAGCTTGCCCAAAAAGTGGTGCGGCGACGCGGCTTTTTTTTTTTTTTTACCTTTTTTTTTTTGCTTCAAATGTCGGCTGAGGACTGCAATTGGTGCCCGACAAACTTAGTGAAAATATATGGGAGTCCAGAGAGGCCACATAACGCTTATTCTCGATCATAACCCCATCTAAAAACACGTTAAAATTGTGCAGCAGCAGGATTCCAGTCAAACCAGTGAGTTTGGCAGTTTTGAGACATCATCTTTTATTGAAAAAAAATAACCTAACCTAATGAAGTTTTAACTCAGTGGATGTTGACTATTCCGCGAAAACAATATTCTAGGATCTCGGTTTCCATTCAAAAGTTGTCGAGTCATGTTTTGAATTGTGCCTAAAAACAGTGTCCGGAACACGTTCTCATTCAGCCGATTGCAGCTGCGCGATGTCACACACTGAACTGACAAATAATAGTAACCGTGTGTGTCGTGTCACACTTGCTCACACCCATTCATGGATTTGCCAAATTACAAACCAACTACCATTGGAAATTTCCAAAAATGCGTCACTTGACACATCTTTGGAAATGGCCTTCTTTTATTGTTTTCTTCAAAATGACAGCATGCCAGAAAGAATAATTTCACAGGGAGTTTAATAGTACCCTTACTCTCTTTAAACCAAGTAAGCTTTTCAACAGTAATTTGGTCAGTTACTTTTTGGATAGCTGCAATTGATCTACTCTACCTTTAAAGTAAACTGATTTAAGTAGCAATTCTGGTGTTTCACAATGCAGTGCGCCACCAAGAGTTTGCCACGGAGAGTTCATTTTTCCCAGAGCATTGTGGGAGATGGTCGACAAATTCACAGTGCGGGACATGTGAAATTGTTAGTTTTCGGTCAGTAGTTCCGTAAGCGTATGATTCGAGTATCTGTTTGCCCTTTTCTTTTCTTTTTATCAATATGGTGTTTTTTTTGTAAGGCGGCAGAACGCTATGCCCCAATTTATAACAAATTATCTCAATTTGTCTACTGACACTCATTCATATGGGCCGTGTTTTGTCGACCGTAAACTTGAAAAATGGACTCTCCATGACAAACTCTTGGTGGCGCACTGCATTTTGTGAATCACCCGAATTGCTTGATTTGTTTCATCTGGCAAAATTACTAGTCCAGTGAAAGCAAACCCGTGGCTTTTCTTTCGTTCCTCAGGCCTCAGTTTGCAGCAGCCTGGATGAATCTGGGCATCGTCCAAGCCGCGAACAAGAAGTACACGGAGGCAGAACAGAGTTACAAGATGGCTCTGTCTCATCGCCATAGATACGCTGACTGTTACTTCAACCTGGGTAACATGGTAAGAAAAAAACTCTAGGGGCCTGTCGTCAGAACTCATGAAATACGTCCAAAATTAAACGGTTCATATGATGGAAATATGTGAAGTAGAAAAAACCAAACCGGGGGAATTCAGAAATGTGTGGATTGTTGAGATTTGTATAATTTGGGGGGCTAATCATCCTCACTCGCAGCTGAGAAGCTGAATTGTGAAGGACGCGGCTACAACGTGGTTGAGCCGAAGGCATGTAAAGGCGCCTTTGGCTGCCGCCATACGACCCATGTCTGACCACGGACCACAGCCAGAGATTGAAAGTATTGATTTTTGCGGAGGGCAGAAAACCGGAGTGCCCTGAGAAAAACCCTGGTGACAGGGGAGAGAATCAACCCAACAACTCTACTTGCTTTATGGTCCGAGCTGGGAATCGAACCCGGGCCACATTGGTTAGAGGCGAGCGCCTTACGCACTAGCCACCCATGCCACCCTAATATAATGAACATGTAGATCAACAGTGGTTGACTTGGAATGCAGTTGTCATAGAAATTGATGAAAAGATATAAATAATTGCCCCAAAATTTGACATGTGATGGTGTCAGATTTTTGGGCAGTGGAGGGACGGTAAAGGTTAATCCAATATATGGCAGTCATTTGAATTGCATCTGAAATTATCATTTCTTGAAGTGATATTTTATTCTTTTTACTTACAAAATTCTTTCACTTGGGCCCCCTAAAAAAGTCTCCGGTTTCTGGTATTGAGCTTGCCCAAAAAGTAGTGCGGCGACACGGCTTTTTTTTTTTTTTTACCTGATTTTTTTGCTTCATATGTCGGCTGATGACTGCCAATTGTGCCCGACTAAACTTAGTGCAAATATATCGGAGTCCAGAGAGGCCACATAAAGCTTATTCTCGACCATAACCCAATCTAAAAACACGTTAAAATTGTGCAGCAGCAGGATTCCAGTCAAACCAGTGAGTTTGGCGGTTTGAGACAAGACATCATCTTTCATTGAAAAAAATTTTTTTTCATTTTGCCGACGCGCATGGCATACCAGAAAACGGAGACTTTTTTTTTTGGCCTTATGCTTCATTTGATTGATAGTTTAGTGTTGACTTTTTCTTGCCGATGTTCATTGTTCTGATCTTTTCTTGTTTTCACAGAGTTTCAACTCATGACATTTGTTTTATGCTTGAATCATTTTTATTTCCAATAAAATCTTGGGGGAAATTGTTTTTTAAATGTTACATTCCACAAAAACTTGAAACAAAATGTGGTAGCTGTAATTGTTGGGGAATTCTATCTAATTACGTTTTGTTAATGGAATTGTTTATCTTTCAGACATTTACTGATTTTCATTTTTATTTTTCTTTTGTCAGAAGTGCATGGTGTTGCATAGTTTAGCATGATAGACAATGCATGTGGTTGACAATAATAGTATTGCTAGCATGTTGCCGGGAAATGTTAGATTCCTTTAGAACTGTTCTTGATTGTAGCAAAAACTATCCTTCTATTTGAAACTCTCACAGAATCTCTGTGTATGGAAGAAAAAAATAGAACTTACTGATTAATTCTGGGGTGCATACATGTAGAGCGAAACTTTCCACCTTTTTTTTCTGGAAATGTCTCTTGGGAAATATCTCTTATATTTTCTGTCCTTTCGTAGGCTGCTTGAACATTGCTATTAAGGGAATAAAATATGGGCTCGGCAGTTTTAAACAAGTACGTTTGGGGCCTGGACATTATCGGCGACCAGGCCCCAAGCTGGTTTTAACCAGTTCGCACCGGGATCATTTTGACAAGAACGAAACGAGGCGCGGGATTACTTTTCACTCGACCTCAAGCCAGGCGGGTTGAAGCCATCACCCTCGGGCAGCCCACTCATATTTCCGGCCTCGCTTGCTGCGAGGGGGTCACTGACGGATATTTCCGGCCTCGCTCCCTGCGTGGTTAGCTGTCATCCGTTCCGAATACCGCAAAACTTTTGCATTTTTACATGGCTCCCAGTGCGAACTGGTAAAACGCGCTTGTTTAATACCAGCCAAGCACATATTTATCCCCATTCATAAATACCTTTTGGTCAAAAAGTCACCACAAGTCAAACATTATAATTTTCAAATGATTTTGTTCAACGACTTTACTTAATTAAAAAAAAAAAATACACTCAAGCTATGATTATGGTACAGTATGTACCTCTCGTGAGTGGCACTAAAAATCTCCTTATATGGCGCCTGTGGCCCATACTGCGCAATGTGGCGCAGAACACAGCTGTGCCAGTGCAGTGTGAATTTAGCACTCAATGAAATATGGACTCAACGGTAGTATTGCACATGCCAAAGTGAAGATTGTGAACGTTAATTTAATGCAACCAATAATAAAAGTGAAAAAAGGGACCGGATTTCATAGGAGTCCAAATTTCATGTAAGACCAGCCAGTTGGTGTTTTGTCAAACGTTTAAACCCACCCACGGGACGGGCTCTCGACCAATGGGTAACCTTTCTCAGGTATTTATGAATTTTAATTGAAAGAGGATGGGTAGTTTGCATGACTTTATAGTAATGATGATAGCTTTTTGTTTGGAATAAGTCATTTTAGACAAAATATTCGGTTGATTGGTTTGCTAGTTGCCATTCTACATTATGTTTGGAAACATCATTTCCTCCTTCCATTCTCCACCTCCCCGCTGCATGTCTTTTTTTGTTTGCTGGCTTCTTTTAGTACTTGGAACTCCGCCGAGATAATGAGGCTTTAGGGGCGTGGCTCAACGCAACCTCCTTCCAAAGTGACCACGCCCGGGCTTGGAGTAACGCAGTGGTCCACTTTGAATCGCTGGGTGAGGCTTGGTGTATAGTGGACAGTGACTTTTTCCCTCCCTCAAAAAACTGCACTCGTTTCTGATTGGATGTGTCAGAGGTCAAAGCTCAGAGGTCAAAGGTTAACATGGCACCCTGATAGTCATCCTCTTTCAAGAATTCTTATTCCTTAACTTTCTATCTCGTTTTTTTCCCTAATCATCTTCTGAGTTCACGAAGCTTCATAATCATCTTGGTATATTTAGATACATTTGGCATGTGAATGCTTAAATTAGAAAAGCAAAAACTGGCCGACTTTAGGATAGAAATTCTAGAGAGTAGAGCTTTTTTGCATGGGTAGATTGCGTAGAGCTGATCTCCATGTTTAGGTGGTTGAAATAATTATTTGTTGCTCAAAGAGAATTTTCTTTTAAGACTAATTGTACAAGTCTTGAGATGATTTGAGTGCAGAATGCAAAATGAGAGTTTCCTATTTGTGAACATGTTTATCAAGAATTTTCTGATCCAAAAATATGTTGGACATCCAGTCCGCGCAAAATCTTCTGGACTAAAAAGGAGTTGAGCACAAATTGATGATAAAAGAAAAGTTACTTTTTTATCCAAAACAACTGCATATTTTTCAGATGATTGTAGCGATTTCTAAAGGTTTGTGAACTAGCTTGTGTGTCTTCTGTGACGTTATTAATTCCAATATTAACCCATTATTTCCCTCTGGGGACTAACGCCATCTCTAACAATGCCCTTCACACTATATGCAAATGAGCACTTTGTAATTGATGTGCAGTATGTTGACACTGGTCGCCGTGACGACGCCTTGAAAGCGTGGTATAACGCTACGTCGCTCCAGCCGGGTCATGTTAGCGCCTGGGCCAACATTGCCACCTTATATGAGCGTGCCGGTAAGAGCTAACAAGGAAAAAATTCATCATCATCACTGCTTCAAAAAACAAACAAACAAACAAAGAAAACCAAACAAACAAAAAAGCTCTCATTTGCTGCTGAAAGTTGCTGTTTAAAGTTCACATGTTTTCTTTGTGGTTGTTGTGTTATTGTTTTCTAAAAGGGAATGTACATCATTGGCTTTTGCTGTAACTTTCAGAAATGAACTATTTGAGAGGTTAGTATAATAGATCAAATATTGTTACACTGACATTTTTAAAGTTTTGTGTTCGAAAAGGTTGGAAAAACCAAGAAAAACAAAACTGTTCAAGTAGTCTGGTTCCCTGACTCCACAAAAGATAAAATGGATCAATCTATAGATGATGGAAAATTGTAAGGCAAGGGAACCAGTCTAGCTGGCCTGCACCCGTTCATGAACATGTAACCAATAGAAAACAAAATTTGGACTGAAAAAATGGTAAATTTGGAGCAGTAGTTAAAAAATAGTTAGGTTTTTCCAACGTTGGTCGGCCGACCACCGTTGGAAATGTTTACAAAAATACCATTTTCTTGAAAATGACTTCACACCAGGTGCCATTATTTTACAAGATGCTTGAGACTGTCATTTACCAACATCCTAGTAAGGTATTTCGTAAAAACTTGGTAGTTTTATTTTTCGATGTTTGCAAATGTTGTATATTCCCTTTAAGAAGGATAAATCTAGAGCGGATTTTTGAAAACGATGGTTCATTGTCTTTCCGATCAGTCATAAGCTTGCTGACCAGTTGGAAGACGCTCTTTATATCTCCTAAAAAGTGTGTTCTGCGTTTCCACTTTTACATGCTCTAATAACTCAAAATACAGGGGTTTTTTGATTTGGTGGTTCTTGCATTTTAGCTTTAGCGTTTTGGAGTTCACTTTTTTTTTCTTTTTTTTCTTTTGCATATTCATAAAGTGCTTTAAGAATTTAGAACAATACCATTTAGAACTATTTTTTCCAATAGCTCATTCAGCACCAAAAAGTGATAGTTAAGATTATCAAAGGTTTCATCAGACTTTTCACAGCAAATTGTTAGAACTCATTGTACATGTATGAAGTGTTGTTTCATCTTAGTTATCTTACTGCTTGTTTCCACTATTTCGTGTCTCGAAATCATTTTCCCTCAATTCAAGAGGGGTCCACCCCTGCCCCCTTTTTAACCCTTTTAAGTCCTAAAAATTTTTGTCTGGTTTTGCTTGTTTTTGCGACCGTACATCTTACCTGACTTGTTTCTTTTGATTCTATCTCACATCTTCTTGTACTTTTTCATTTAATCTTAATTTTGCTGTTTCTTTTCTGATATGAAGTGCAATTTGGTTGGAAGTCGAAGCTGTTTTCTCACAAATAATTCTATTTCTGTTGTCAATTGCTTTCAGCAACTGTGTAATGTTGCCCTGTCCATATTTAAAAAAACACTACATACCCTCATTTTTTGCAATCCAAAATTGTGTTATATCACAGTAAATTTGCACAAATTCTCACAAATTTGGTGTTTTTCTAGCAGTTTCCTTTATTTAACTTCAACTTCTGACAACTTCTTCCTCTATTCTTCCCCCTATTCATGGCACCTGTAGGTCAGTATGAGACGGCCATTTTGGTTGCTAAGGAGGCTATGAAGCATGTACCACAGGAACCATCCATCTATTTTGGTCTGGGAAACGTACTTGGCAAAGAGGGACGATATCAGGTATTAAAAAAAAAGATACATACAATTTCAGATATAACTTCAGCAATTTCAGGAGTTCAAAAACTGTCTTCAGCATTAATGTTATAATTTAGCTTTTAAAAAATGTATTGTTGTTAATCTTGTAATTCAAGCTGTTTTTAAAATTTGTTTTTTAAGTTTTAGCTTTTTCAATTTCTGGAATTTTCTGGATTTTGAAATATTTTGCCTAATAACTCTTAAGTTATTCGTCATTTTATTATTTGAGCCAAAAGTTATCAATAATTCTTGACATTTATTTCAAAATAACACTGTAATTTTGGGTGAATGTTTGCCTTTTTATTTTAAGATTTTAGCTTGTTCAATTTCTGGAATTTTGTGAATTTTTGAAATCTTTTGCGTTGGACTTCATTTAAGTCTTTGAGCTAAAAGTTATCAATAATTCTTTTACATTTATTTCAAATATGACTAAGTTTTTTTGGTGAATTTTTTTACCAAACAGGAAGCCGAGGAGAACTTTCTTCAAGCCATTCAGCTGAACCCCAAAATGGCCAATTACCATGGCAACCTGGGTGTTTTGTATCATCGCTGGGGGAAGTACAGCAAAGCCAAGAAGCATTACACATCGGCGCTGGAGTTGGATCCGGAGTCGAGGAACGCTCGGAACAACTTGAAGAAACTCCAACAAACCATGACAAAAATGAAGAGCAAGAAAAATGCTGGACAATAAACATCTTGTTCGAATATCAAACCCAACAGCAATTACGATAAACCGGATGCAGTTTACCTCAATAATCTGCATTTTTCCTACTTTCCCCCCCCCCCAAAAAAAATGAGTGTAATATTTTTCAGATCTGTACTACTACTTTCAGGAGACTTCCAATACCTGCAGGCCTGTGGGGGGGGGGGGGGTGTCAGACACCCCCCCCCCCCCCCCCCAATATGGCCACAGGATCACATTTTCCCCATAATTGACATTTGCGTTTTTGTGCTCCTTCGCTTCGCTCATCCGCATGAAAAAAAAAAAACAGTTTTATTCTAATGAACAACCTCAATAAATAATAGAAACACACAATTAGATTTAAGCACGGGATAGGTTAGAAACGGAACGATACTCAGCGGTGAAAGCATAGGCCTGAAATGAACGGCTTGGCATTCGTTATCCTTTTTATACATGTAGCAGAATACGCATCAGTACACAAGACCTCAATGGTCAGATTAAGAAAGGAATGGAATGCAACCAAAGCCCAAACATGCCGGACATTGAGGGATAACACCTTTATTTTATTTCTGCCCTCCAAACAAACAAAACCAAATTTTACTTCAATGTGTATTTCCATGCGTAATCAACTGTTTATTAGACATGAAAAGGTCCACTTTGTTGTAAAAACACCGGACCCTCCCCTTCCACCATGCTGGTATGGCCCAGACTGAGACCCCGAGTGCTGAAAAACAGGCAAAACGAAATCAAGCCAACTTTATTCATTCTCTGACTGCCAAAATTCTCCAATTGTTTTCATGAGGCAAAGACAAGGTCCTCGGTATTTCACCAACCAAGTTTGAAGTCTCAATTCAATTTTTAAGGCAGACTTTTCTTCAATATTTTGCTCCTGAAAGGGAAGTCAAGCGATATCAATTTGAGGCCAAAGACCAGACTGGTACATGTCCAACCATGATCCAAATGTTTGAAAAGACTGACCTGAATTTTCGGACTAGCGACGGCCCTGATATTTTTATATCACGTCTGCGTTCTTCCTTCCAAAATCCTACAAAATCCAGAACCTTCTTGTGTTTTTTTGAAAGAACTGCGAGGGTGTGTGTTGATTTAATTATACATTGTATACTTGTTATTAGGATAAAGTCTTTCAATCAGTGACCATTATTTATTCCCAATGTTTCAATTTTTGTTTGTAAGAAAAATTACCAAAGTGTAACTGGACATTAGGATGTTTGTATTGAGCTCTGCCAAATGAGCCGGTTTGTCAATGTCTAATTTTTTTTTCTTTTTTTCTAGAAATTCATTTTCTATTGTTAAAGTTTATATTCATTGGTCTTTGAGAGCAGTTTCCTGATCTAGTAGACTTCTTGTAGATGGACATATTTTTGGTTTGATTTGGAAGGTTTTTTTAGCACCACATCGAAAACTCTACCAACAACCTGAAAGAGATTGAAGGTAGTATACAACATCTACAAACAACAACAACAAAACTAGCAAATTATTATGAAATACCTTACTTAACTGTAAGTGAATAATAGTCTCAAGCATCCTGTGAAATCATGGCACCTGGTGTGCTGTCATTATCAAGAAAGTGGATTTTTGTAACAGTTTCCAACGATGTTCAGCCGACCATCATTGGAAAAAAAACTTTTTTTGAAATACTGCCACCAATTTATCAAATTCAGTTAGTCCACATTTTGTTTGCAATCAGTTACACATCCGTGAACGGGTGCCAGCCAGCTAGTCTGGTTCCCTGACTTGACAATTCCCAGACGTCTATAAATTGCTCTGTTTTGTCTGAAGTAGGGTCAGGGAACCAGACTACAAGAACAACAGTTTTTTATTGGTTTTTCCAGCATCTATGAACACAAACCTTTAAACAGGTTATTGTAACAATATTTGCTATGAAACTCTTAACCCCCAAATCCATCCATTTCTGAAAATTACAGCAAAAGCAAATGTTGTATACATGTATTACCTTAACAACATGACAGAGATTAACATGTTGATCTAATTTAATTACCTCAAAATGCAGCAAGCCCAAAAATATGAAAATAAGTCTCTTGCATTTCTAGTAGCAGTCGTTATTTTTTTTTAGACTAACATTTGGTTTCCAAGCCAACCCTTTTCAAATGTTTGTATCTATATGTGAATTGATTTATGATTTTGAAATAACAAAAATAAGAAAACACTTTTTAAGTACAAATTAATAACTGAGCAATACTTTTCAATTATTCGTGGAATTTTAAAAAACCTGTCCTGCGACTTATATATGTTAGTTATATATATATATATTTATAACATCTACATGTATAATATGAAAACTTTTTATAGGATCCCATGTTTTTAAAGCCCAGAGATTAGAATATTTTGAATTGTATTTTTCATAAAAGTTGAAAGAGTTTAAGCTAGATGATTCCTAAAACTTGTGTCCCAAGCAAAATGGCACGGGAACACAAAACCACAAAAACAGACAAAAGAACAAGAATGAAGGAGAGACGTTTTTTGCAACTTGCAATATTTTTTATCAATCCCTTTTTAAACAGAATTTTATATACTTGTATATCCTATTTATTGACTAACCAAAGCTTTCTGGTCATGTTTATAATCATAATATATTTATAACTATCAATCAATTGTGTTTTATTAATGGAGTGTTTTTGACATTACCGTAGATCTTCCAACCAGCTGAGAAAATAACCATAGCAACCGTTTACTGCCAGAATGATTCTAAAAGTCATTGTGTGAATAAAATCTTTCCTATACTGACAACTCCATGCATACGCTCGGCAGAGTTCATCATTTCGTAAAATCATGAGTGACTCCTCCCTTTGTTCCCAATCCTAAAGTTTGTGACCAAGATGACTAAAATATGTTTAGACACCCCCTCCCCAAAACAAGCACCCCCCCCCCCCCCCCCCCACAAAAAAAAAACCAAAAAAAAAAACCGACTGGTTAAAATGATTTCAGGTTTAATTGAACCATGGAGCTACCTTTTTTATAGCTCCATGATTGAACATCGTTCTATATCTCTTCCATTTTTTTTTAAATGGACATTTACCCGGATTAGCCTGGAGGGTGGGAAACACGGCCACCCACCCGGCTAGAGCTACGTCCGTAATTTTAAAAGTGCGCCCTCAAGTGTTTGCATTTTTCCGCAAAAAATAACTAGACAGTCGTGTTTGCGGCAAAACAACCAGCGAAGTTGAAAAGTAAAAAATATCTTTCTTTTAAAGTTTCGTTCTTTTTTCACTGCCGCATTTGTCGTATTTGAAGAAGGAAGGCTTTGTAAGTTTGGGATTTCGGCATGGGGCCAGCATGCCATGTCTAGGTTACGTGCTCGAGGAGTTAAAATCAGTGGCGTGCAGACGACAATTTTTTGTTGTCGATTGTCTAGTCCGAGTAACTTGTCATGTTTTCTTGTTCCATTTAAAACAATTATTTATGGGAGGGGAAATCATCGTTTTTTATAGCTCCATGCATAAACATTGGGAAAGAATGTTACATCCTGACGGCACAGTTTTTTCATCATAAATGCAGGTCAACCATTGCAAAAATGTTGAACTGTTACAGTGTTAGTTGTCATTTTTGTTGAAAAGAAATGAAGAATCTGGGACTGTGTGAAAATATTTCTAATTTTGTTAGAATGATACTTTAAATTGCACTCGACTCTCCACAGACTTTGTACACAACCAAAGAAGTGGCATCTGGATACTACATTCTTTCCAGACATTGCATTAAATATTAAAAGAACATTTAAAATTCAAAGTTTTACATTAATTGCCACCTGAACTAACATTAAATTTTCTAAAATTCCAATAAAATTTTCATTTGTTGTAAAACTAGTATTAGGCTACAAAAAGTACAGGTAACGTTACAATACCAGTAGGCTACAGTAGCCTAGAGACAACTACGGATCATTTTCATGAGGGATGATCATCTTTGAAGCATCAAGAAGTAACCATGGCAACCACTGATGCGAGTGGAGCCAGAAATGAATCAGGTGTCAAGATGATGACTGTGGATGAAACAAGCGAAACTCCCAGCATTCTTGGCACAACAACTCACTTGGAAGAAATCCATGATTCCTCTATCGAAGCCTGTGACACATCCGAGCAGATTAACGTGGAGACAGTTGCCAAGGATGTACCAGAGGTCAAAGGTCACAGAGACGATGAAAGTAACGTAGAACAAGAGGAGACAGTCGGCTGCATTAAGGAGCAGATTTCTCCCGCACAAAATCAAGGAGTCGTCGAGATACCAGACCATAAGAATGGATCAGATGATCACGCAGACCCGAGTCAGACTTTGGAGATGGAGAGTGAATGCGTTGCCATGGAAACAAGGTTAGAGGATGATGAGATGAAGCAGAATGAGAACGAAACGGGGAAAACAACAACCGATGAATTTCCTGAACAGACAGTTGCTACTGATGAAGCGTAAGTACACTGTGACTTGTATAAAACAAAAAATGCTTTTGAGGAGAGGACCGTCCTTTTGTAAGAAAACAAAAAAGGACAATTTGACTAAATGTTGAAATATTCTGTTTATTTATCCTCGGCTAGATATTCCTCCTACAGTCCCGATTATCGGCAAGTCCCATATCAACTCACAGGAGCGTGGCAGGATTTTCAACACACTCCAGAAAACTTCCTGAAAGGCTGCAAATGGTAGGTACATGGTAAATGTTGAAGTCGAGTCTGTCCTAAAGTAATATTGTGCATCGGATCAGGTTGACCAGGCCAATCCAACCCGAAACATACAAACCGAATCCAAACCGAAACCGATCTGAACTCCCCAAATCCAACCCGACCCGACCCGACCCGACCCAACAAAAATTTAAGGAAAAACCAAACCGAACCGACCCGAAACCGAACCGACCCGGAAAAAAACACTGAATATCTGGCTTGGGCAAATGTGTTCGCTTTTTTTGCCTGAACTTACCCGTGTCACGTGAAAGTCATCGCTCTCAGTAAAGAATCATACCGTACGGTATGGTTAAGACTCACAACATTTATTGGTGGGCCTAGACATTATACACTTTGCGTGATAGCACACAGCAACACACTCGCACCTTGGGTTGACATTGGTCGTACCGTGCACAGTAACTCTGGGATAGTATTGCACCGCATGAATTTCCGAACTGTTTCGGTTTTGTGAGGGTTTATTTCAGGTTTTTCACACAATAGCATAACCGACTCGACCCGAAAATAGCAAACGCAGAACCGAACTGCCCCGACCTGACTGAAATGATGGAAAAACTGACTTGACCCGACCCAAAGTCGGTTTCAGGTCAGGTCGGTTTTGGGTCGGGTTTGCACATCATTCATCCTAAGTCCTCAGAAGTCCACACAAGCACACTTAAGTCATCAAGTCTAATGTCAGGTCACATGACCTATTCAAATGAGCTGTGACTAAAGCATTTTTGTGTGTGATGGATTCAAATGCAGCACTAGTACAAAATTTGTCTGCATTCAAAATTGTGGTCTTCCTGGAATGTGTCAGTGAAATAAGCTATTTGCGAGTTAAATTTGAATAAAATCTGGAACGCTGACTTAAAGGGAAAATACAACATTTGCAAACATCAAAAATAAAACTACCAAATCATTTTGAAATACCTTGCTGGACTGTTAGTGAATGACAGTGTAAAGCATCCTGTAAAATCATGGCACCTGGTATACTGTCATTTTCAAGAAAAGTGGTATTTTTGTATCAATTTCCAACGCTGATCGGCCGATCAGCGTTGGAAACAACTGGCTTTTTTTCAAATACTGGCCCTAATTGACCATCGCACTTGTTTGCAATCGATTACAAATCTATGAACGGGTACGAGCCAGCTAGACTGGTTCCCCGACCTTACAATTCCCCAATGTATGTAAACTGCTCTGTTTCTTCTTATATGGAGTCAGGGAACCAGACTACAGGAAAATGATCGTTTTTCTTGGTTTTTATAGCATTTTCGAACCCAAAACCTCAAAAAAGTCAGTGTAACTATATTTGCTATATATTTCCAACCCCCCAATTCCATCCATTTCTGAAAATTACAGCAAAAGCAAATGATGTATATTCCCTTTAATCCAATGCTTTGCACGTTTTAACTTTGCATTCTCCCGACCAAAGAGATTGTTACTGTATAACGTGATTCGGGGCAAGCCTTATGCTAGCAACCCCCAGCTCCGGCATGGTCTGGTGTCTTTGTGCCATTCTCACCCATTGTGACAAAATGTATTGGTGCTGAGCGTCTCTTACGTAACTATGCAAGAGCTTGCCCCGAATCATGTGATTAGCAACAGTGTCTTTGGTCGGGAGAATTCAAAGTTAAAATGTGCCAAGCATTCTGAGCAAGTCAGTGTACCGGATGTTTTTCACATTAAAATCCCAAAGGGTATAGGTCACTCGCAAATGGTGTATTGTATTTATTCTGTGTTGAATTTCTTGGTCATTTTTCTAATAAGGTCTCCAGATGGATTGTGTGTGTTGACCAACAGCGACGACAGTCGGCTGCGTCTCTTTAATCTCCCTCAAGAAGTGTACTCCTCCCACTGGCAAGATGAACCAATCCCGGAGATGACATCCGTGCTGAATATTCATGAGGGTGAACTCATCTATGATTATGCATGGTTTCCTCCAATGAGGTCTGACCAACCAGAGACATGCTGGTAGGTCATGGGTAGATACTGAATATTCATAGGGTGAACCTCTGATTAAACATGGCTCTTTAGGTAATTATTTTGTCATCTGTGCATTGTTTTCCTTTGAAGCAACAACAGTGCTCAAAATCTAAAGACGGGTGCTTAACAACTAACCTGATGAAGTCTCAGCTCAGTGAATGCTGTATATATTCCGAGAAAACAATATTCTAGGATCTCGATTTCACTTCATAAGTTGCCAATTCATAATGTCAATTGCGCCCAACATCAGCATCCAAACACATTACGTTCTCATTCAGTCGATTGCAGCTACGCGATGTCACGCACTGAGCCGACGAATAATAACAACCTCGTGTGCGTCGTTTCAATGCTTGCGCGCACCCATTCACGGATTCGCCCAATTACAAACCAACTACTAACGGAAATTTCCAAAAATGTGTAACTTGACACATCTTTGAAAATGACCTGCTTTTTTTGTCCGTCCTGTGATTTTCAAAATCATACTTCATTTGAACTTAACTACAGCCCTACATCACATTTGTTTGTCTTGATGTTTTCAGTTTTGCAAGTACCTGTCGAGATCATCCAATCCATTTATGGGACGCGTTCACCGGTGAGCTCCGCTGCACATTCAAGCCTCACAACCACCTGGTATGCATCCGCCTTCCTGCACTGTGTCTGTCCTGTACTATATCTGTCTTATCCGCTCCGTTCACAAGTACCCCCTCACCGGCAAAGAGAGTACAGTTGGGGGTGACCGACCGACGCCATCTTGCCTGACTGCAATTCATTTGCCGCGAAGCGCGGCCACTGCGTGTACATGTACATAGTACAGATCCCTTGGTGTACGTGCGTCACACACAAGGAACGTTGCGCGTCAACCAGCGAAATGTCCCGCCCATGGGACGTTGTTGCTAGGTAAAAGGGCGCCCTCTTTTGTCGGCGCATGGAGCCCATAGATGTCTTCCAATGATTTTCAAAACTATTCATTTCCCCTCACATCAGACCGCACAAATGTTAAAAACATTGTTCAGACCCAGTAGGCAAAATATGTCAGCTGGGTATCTCCATGAAGTAGTCCATGTCAAAGGTCATTCGGGATAAAATCGCTGACGTGATGATACCCGATGTTACGCGGACGCCCATTCTGCTTGTAATTAACACGCGAGCGTCGTGCGTCTGTCTCCGTGCCCATTCATACACCTACGATGAGCGTTCGATTATCCCGAATGACCAGTGACTTACATCATTTTGCGCATGCGCAGTTGAAAAACCGAACTGGCTTATTGATAAAGCATGTTTCTTCTATTATTTCTTTAACTATTTTGGCCTGGATCTCTTTCACTTAGATAGTTGGTCATTCAATCTCATGTAAAGAAAATAGATGAAAATCAAGCGTTATGATTTAGAGAAATGAGTCACATGAGTCTTGCTTTCTTTCAGGACGAGCTGGCCACAGCGCACTCCTTGGCTTTCTCGGCCGATGGTAGCAAACTTTACTGCGGCTTCAATAAAATGATCCGAGTGTTTGACACGGAGAGACCAGGGAATACATGCCAAGACCGACCAACAAAAGGTACATGAGATCTAGAGTACTGCACCAGATTTATGAACTGGCCTCTAAAAGTCTCAGTTGATACTCGGTGACTCAGTCAGCCAATCAGTTGGTTACTCATTCATTCAGTCAGTGACTCAGTCAGCAGTGTTGTAGTTGAGTACTTTTTTCCGAGTACCGAGTACTGCCCCGAGTACTTAGGTTGCCGAGTACGAGTACTTGTACCTCCGAGTACAAGAATGGGTCTCCGAGTACGAGTACTTGTACTTCCAAGTATGAGTACGAGTACTAGTACGTACGAGTACGAGGTACTTGTACTTCCAAGTACGAGTACCTTGTACTTCTGAGTACGAGTACGAGTACCTTGTACTTCTGAGTACGAGTACCTTGTACTTCTGAGTACGAGTACCTTGTACTTCTGAGTACGAGTACCTTGTACTTCTGAGTACGAGTACCTTGTACTTCTGAGTACGAGTACGAGTACTTCCGAGTACGAGTACCTTGTACTTCTGAGTACGAGTACGAGTATTCGCATTTCCGAATACGGCCATATGGCAAATGGTTCATTGTGCGTAATTGGCCCAGTCAGACCGATATACAGACCCACTCACGACTAGCTGTTAAATGTGTTTGTCTGGACTTGCACAGAAGAAAATCAGGAAATCTCGATTTCTCAACAAGCCAATCAACCATTTCAAACTGAAAGTATCGATAAAATAAGGCCATGGTAAGTGAAGCTATAGCATTTTTTCCTGCCCCGAGTACTGCTATTCGAGTACGAGTACTTTAATGATCGAGTACAAGTTCGACATGTCGAGTACGAGTACTTTGCTGCCCGAGTACGAGTATCGTCATTTCGAGTAGGAGTACGAGCACGAGTACTCAAAAAAGTACTCGAGTAGTACTCGAGTACGAGTACCGAGTACGAGTACTACAGCACTGTCAGTCAGTCAGTCATCTAGTCAGTGACTCGGGGAGTCAGTCCTATAGTGGACAATAAGCTAGGCCCTCTGGTTCAGTAAAATAAACTATCATTCAATTAGGCCAAAAAAAATAAGTCTCCGGTTTCTGGTATGGAGCTTGTCCAAAAAGTGGTGCGGCGACGTGGCTTGTTTTTTTTTTTTACCTGACTTTTTTGCTTCAAATGTCGGCTGATGACTGCAAATGGTGCCCGACTAAACTTAGTGCAAATATATGGGAGTCCAGAGAAGCCACATAAAGCTTATTCTCGATCATAACCCCATCTAAAAACACGTTAAAATTGTGCAGCAGCAGGATTCCAGTCAAACCAGTGAGTTTGGCGGTTTTGGGACATCATCTTGTATTAAAAAAAAAACTTTTTCATTTTGCCGACGCGCATGGCTGCGGCGACGCGCGCGCATACCAGAAACCGGAGACTTTTTTTTTTTGGCCTTATCCCTGAGAGTTTTTTTTTTGGTCAAGATTTAATAATATTTTGTATCTTCTTCCGTTTTTGGTAGATAAAAAATCTGGTCAATCAGGGATAATCTCCTGTTTCGCGGTTAATTCCGAAGGACTCTATGCTGCTGGATCGTACTCCAAATCAAGTAAGTTTAATCTCTTTTCATTATGTGTCTTGAATTGTGTACTCATTGTGTTTTGCCCTCCACTTTCTTCTTGGAGTTTAAATTTTTATTTTTTTTTCACAAGACCGATAAACAAATTTTGTTAACGATTGTATTTTGCTTCGATGAATAAACATGTATGCAAGTAAAATCATGATGTGACTGAAAATATTGACTATTTCATTTGGTTTTATATTTAGTGCCAGTCAGTTCTATACTGTCCATGTTACAGGGCCACATACTGATGACATTTATACTGGTCTCTATTTCAGTTGGTCTATACACAGAGCCCAGTGGATCCATGGTATGCATGGTGCAGGGCCAGGTGGGAGGAGTTACACATCTTATGTTCTCCCCTGATGGTAACAGGTTGTACAGCGGAGGCAGAAAGGTAAACCTTTGGAGACCTTAGGACAAAGGATAGCTGTATAAGAATAGCATACACAAATACAATGTAATACAAAAGTAATACAATGTAATACATTGTCATGCAATGTTATACAAATATTGAGTAGCTCAGAGTGAAATGGGAGAAATATTATCGCAAAGTAAAATCTGGACTTTTCCATTTCATGAGGCGAAGCCGAATGAAGTGGAAAAGTCCAGATTTTACCCAGCGATAATATTCTCCCATTTCACAATTTAAAGCCACTCAATATTTGTTTTATATAACTGACATATAGATCATTGTCATTTGTTATTATTTGAACTTTTATTTCAGTACAAAATTGGTGGAAAATAGATTTCTCTCTTCCAAACCTCCCCTTCACGAAAATGTTTGAAACCAACTCTGTAGCGCTGGCTCTTTAGAGCAATACACGCTACGCGCAAAGCTGAATGCGCACACCAGCATGCATCTGCACACAAATACCGCGCCATGGAACAAGGCTGATCCTAACTTTTGAATAGTAAATCCCATTCACCATCGGCGAATAGGACTTTTTGAGCCCCGGCGTGAATGGGAGCAATAACGAATGTCACCACGTGATGCGAGTTCCGCCTATCAAAGGATCTGTATGTCGGTTATGTAAAATACAATGTCATGCAATGCAATACAATGTCATACAATGAAATCATGTATTGTGATATCATCTTGTGATGAAAATGATTGGATTTGGGGGTTTTTTTTGTTTGTGTCCAAGGACCCTGAGATCGTTTGCTGGGATATGCGGAATCCAGGCAGGGTTCTCTTCAGCTTAATCCGAGACGTTTCCACTAACCAGAGGATGTACTTTGACTTGGATAGGTAAGTGAGTGAACAAACAACCGACATTGAAGGAGAGTAGTCTTCAAATCAGGTTTTGCCCTTCACCGACGTTTAAACACTGTATACTCGGTGTGTTACCTCCCGAGTGAAAGTTAGGTTTAGCCCTTCACCAACGTTTAAACACTGTATACTCAGTGTGTTACCTCCCGAGTGAAAGTTAGGTTTTGCCCTTCACCGACGTTTAAACACTGTATACTCGGTGTGTTACCTCCCGAGTGAAAGTTAGGTTTTGCCCTTCACCGCCGTTTAAACACTGTATACTTGGTGTGTTACCTCCCGAGTGAAAGTAAGGTTTTGCCCTTCACCGACGTTTAAACACTGTATACTCAGTGTGTTACCTCCTGAGTGAAAGTTGCAAAAATTCACTAGGGTGGGACTCGAACCCACGACCTCCTGCTTTCTATTGCAGATGTCTTACCACTCCACCACCGAGCTAACGGTTCGAGTCCCACCCTAGTGAATTTTTGCAACTTTCACTCGGGAGGTAACACACTGAGTGTACAGTGTTTAAATGTCGGTGAAGAGCAAAACCTAATTTGATTTATATAACCCAGACGCAAAATTCCATCTTATGAGAGTAGTCTTGAAAGATAGGCAATAAACGTCAAAAACAACGGTCTACGTTTTGGTCCAAAACTGCAAGAGGGGCTCCAGTTTGTATGGCCATGTCTAAAGCAGACGTTGCAGCTGGCTACGGCTATTCACCACAGTGGGTATGTAGCAAAAACTGAAGCCTCAGCCGCTAAATACCCAATTTAGACACAGCCTTCTTGTCTTGAAGGAGGAGGTAGGCCTAGTGGTTAGGGTTTGTAACTCGTGATCAGAGGTCAAGGGTTTGAATCCAGCTGCTGGTCCTATGTTGTGTCCTTGGGCAAGCCACTTCACTCCACTTGCCTCTCTCCACCAATGAGTAAAAATGGGTGTCAGCAGTAGCTTGGGAGTAACCTGCGATGGACTAGCATCCGTCCACGGGAATAGAAATATTCTCAGTTGTTTCATGCCAATGAAACCGGAGATAAACACCGGCCTGATGGGCCACATTAGCTCGTGACAGATTTAAGTTTTTGTTACTACTTGTCTTGAGCCTTAGTTCAATTTTTTTCAGGGCCTCTGACACAATGAGAAAGACCAAGAAAAAGGCGAGGTTTGAAAAAATGACCTGAAAAAGCCCATAAAATTGCCTGGTTGGGACTCGAACCCCAACCTCCTGCTCACTAGTACTGATGTCCTTTGGCTTTTTTTTTGCTTTCAGCACTGGTCAGTACCTTGTGTCCGGCAATCAGGATGGAACGGTCAGTGTATGGGACACGACACAACCACCGGTGATCCAGGGGTCAAATGGTGAGAGTATTATTGACCCCATACTACGCTTCAAAGCACATAGTGACGCGGTCAATGGAGTCAGGTGAGTATTCATTAAAAGCTTTTTGTAACAGTGGTGTAATTTGGGGGGAGGGGGGACCAGGGGGTGCACAAATTGTTCCGTGGGAGGGGTGGGCCACTGAAGGCAAATAATATAGATTTAAGTTCAATTCAAGATTTTAAATGAGCGGGGTGGGGGGGGGGGGGGGGCTGGCACCTGTGGTGGCACGGACATCCTTTTGGGGGCACATGCCCCCATGGGTGCATACCTGTAAATAGGCCTAAACCCATCCGCTGAGCTCATGAATAAAAATTATACCCTCAAAATATTCTATATTAGAGAGTTCTGAGAGCCATAACATTGGGGTATTGAAGAGATATGGCAATGAACCTCTGGCCCGGACTCGGGGCTTCCAATTCTGAGCATTTTGGATACAATTGGGCTCGAAAGTGGCGCTATTTTTGCCATGTTGTGGAGGGATCGTTTTTCAAGATGGCTACCGTTCCGCTTTGGGGAAAATAGGGGTCGTCTTCTTTGGGCGAGAATTTCTCGAAAAGTCAATGGTCAACCCACCAAAAAATGAAAGAAATTGAAAGATGACATGTCGATCATCATTTTTCTGTGCAGCTTAAATACCTGTGAGAGTTCTGAGTATTTTTAAAAGAATTTTGAAGTATTGGCATTTAGCACTAGTGGCTATGGGATTTTTTTTGCACTGTTGCACCCCCATACCTCCCCCCCCCCCCCCATAGTTACGTCACTGTTCAGTAATAAATGTAATTCTCGTTTGAAAAATTATTGACGATTACCAGATTGTGAGGTTGTCATTTTGGAAATGTATTTCAAATGTTTGTGTCTAAACATTTAGTGTGTCGTAACTCATTTGTTTGAATGATTTCCAAATCATTTGGCTGAGATGAAAGAGAAGCGCATTTTCATACTTTTTTTACCGCGGAATTTTATCAAAAGTGATGAATAAATCTTGTCTCCTTTTCGCAGCTTGAATCCAACTATGCCTATCATGGCGACAGCGTCTGGTCAACGCAAGTTTCCTGTTCCCATGGCAACAGGGGACAGCGATGAGGAGGAGGAGGCAGCCATGGTGGAGGAACTGGGGGAGGAAAACTCGTTAAGACTTTGGTATCTGATGCCAGCGAGTTGACGCTACTTCAGAAATGCATCGACAAATCAAGACTCAAGACTTTTCTTTCTTGGACTTTTCTTTATATTTATCCTCAAAATTCAGCGAATGGAAATCATGCTACCTTTACTAAGGTAGCAAACGAAAACAAATCACATAGGGATGTGTGTAATTTTTTTTTTCTGTTTGCCGAAAGAACGCACACCTTTTGTGTGATCCGTGGACAGAACTTTAAAACAACAGTTGTGTTTAAAAATCCGTGACTTGGAAAGTACATGAGTGATTTTAATGATTCTTGTACTAAAAGAAAGCTTATGAATTTGGCTTTCTTATATCCTAGATTTTGAAAGTGCTACATGCAGAACTTCAATAAAATAATAGTCCCGACATTTGGGTTTTTAATTCTTTGACTCGCCCTGTATTGACCGAATTGCAGGCAGCCTTGTCTACCAGTCTCGTATAAATCGACGACTTGTGAAAGACCCAGTATATATGCAATGTAATATTTTTTTTCTACATTTTCCCATTTCAGTATCTATTTCAGATTTGCAGTTTGAAAATCATTGCAATTTGAAAATTATGTTATGCAACCATTTGTAAATGTTTCAAGGAAATCCAAATACAGTTCCTTTGGTTGTTTGGCAAAGCTTTTTATTTTCTCAAAATGTTTTTACTTTATCATGCGTATTATTAAACGGTTGAATAAAATGAATAACAGATTTATTGAAAAAGCGTACTTTGCATTCTTTCCAGAAAAAGAACAAATAAAGTACTTACTAGAAAAGTACAAGATCACGTGTTACAGCCTATTTTTAAAATACGGCATCATCTAACGTTTCAAATAGTTTCTGTTTAAATCATTATTGTATTTCTTAACCTTGATATTTGAAGAAAGTTTGTGGCAAATTGTCATTGCTATTTATTGCAGGTTTACTCGTCTTGACCTTTTAAATGGCCTAGTTGAAATCGTCATCAGAGATATTTGTTGTATCACCTAGCAGCTGTGCATAACGCAAAAAAAATGTTCACTTTAACTCAAGCTCCAAATCTCATCAACCAACGCCAAATTATCGTAGATATAAAATATCAAGTTAACCATAATTATGCATTTCAAAATTTCACTTAAAATTGACTTCTTAAAAGTTAACATAATAAGTATACCCAGAGCTAAAAAAAATAATCCTCGCTACAAACAATTTGGAAATTGGATACCACTGTGATGAATTTATCCCACTCAAAAATCTTGTTTTGATCTTGAGTGATACATCAATCATAAGTACATACACCAGATGATTATTAATAATAATCCACACATTGCCCAATGGCTCGAGTGTGTAACCTCCCCGATGCGATATATGTGTGGTTTTTTTTGGTAAAGTAAAGGCTCTATCCCCTTCGCACTGTGTGAAGTACCTAGCGTGACATTTAGCATGCCGGGGACTACCGTCAACTCGTTAGTGAGTCCGACGGTCCCGTCTCCACCGCATCGTGCCAGCTACCCGGCCCTCGAGAGAGCCGCTCAAGCTCGGTACACCCAGGGTTTAGCTCATACCCACTTACATGGGTGCTAGAGTGGAGTCTGACGTACACAACAACCTTTCACTTTTCGTGACAGGTTTACTGGGAAACCTGACGGAGAACTACGCGCGGTTATTTTTTTAATTCTTGGATTTTTTTTGTTTTTTTCTACGTCTCATTTAGGCTGGCGTTATAGACGGCAAATACTTAAAGGAAAAAGGAAGAAACGGGAATGTTTGTGGTTTGGGTAGGCAAATAAAAAGGGGGGGTCCGAGAAATTGTTTGGGTGCCGCGTACTTTATTAAACAAGGTACTGTGTATTCGGCATATCTACCATCCTGTACTGCGATGATGATTGTACCAAAACTGATAAGGCTCATTCGTAGGGGACGAAGTATATTAGAGATCTATCTCCCCTAGTCCGGAGCCATTACGGTTTTAAAGTTTTAAACTATACGGCAATTCTTGATCGGTATTTTCTTCAGAGCCTTAACTAGTCCAAAACTAAGGATTTAAAGGCGACGGGTGACCCAATACTTTGATGGATCGGTGGGTATTTATTTGGGTGAAAGTGAAGTGTAATTAGACTTAATCAGACTTGGTGAACAAATCAGTGCCTGACCTTATTTAGTTGTAAAATAACTCCATTGTTATAACTTAGGCTACGCGGAGTATACCGGGTGGACTGGACTCTTTAAAAAAAAAAAACGAAACCGAGATATTATTGCTAATTGGAACAGAAGTAGGGCACATGTGAATCAAAGGGAGATATCCTCTGTTGGGGTTGCATCTCCTCTTTAAAATGACACCCTGATCATGTCCTTACATTCTCGTTTGACTCATCAGTGACCAAGTTTTATGAAAGGGTCTATTTAGAGAATTGCGCCACTTTGCATGGTGAAATCTCTTTTGGCAACCATAGCCTTTCACTCTGTGACAAATGACATCACAAAAACCACAATTATTCTCTAAATAGGTTTTGGGTTTTTTGTTATCCACCCTGTACAGTCCAACCTTGAAGATCACTGTTAATACAAGATCCTTATAACAAGCACAATTATAACAAGCACATTTTTAGGTCCCAAATGTTTGTTTTTCTTTGTTTTCCTTTGTTTTCCATTACTGTTAACACAAGGTACCTGTTATAACAAGGTAATTCGTAAAGTCCCAAGGACCTTGTTGTTCGACTGTAGTTACCCGCGGCCCGGGTTTCCCCACTTTTTCATCAAGGAACGGTCAAATTAAACCAAGACTAAGTAAAAGTCAATTTTAGTCAAGCGCACTTCGCCATTCAATAAAAAGCTAATAAGGGGACACACCTAGCTCATCAAAATCTGATGTTACCAAAAAGTGGTTTCGTCTTCAGTAGATAGCAAAGTGCGCCCCAAAGGTTCGCGTGTAAAACAACGCGATGTCGCGAACCCTGGTCGCGAACTGTATAGGGACTATTTTCCCAAACAACAAGTAGTGCATTGAAGAAGTGTGGCTCTATTTTAGTCACAGAAACTGGCGCCCTTTCCTTCTCTCCACGATATCTTGGTTGATTATTTTTCTCTTTCTGCAATGGCCTGCTGCCTGCCTGCAGCGAATGCAAGCCATGCTACATCATCAATGCACGCAGCTCGAAGTCGTCAATTAATTTCTCCTGGCGCATGCGCGTGGCATTTGGTATGTCTGATATGTACCAATATGGCGGCCGTGTAGCCTTGCTATCCAACACCCTGCAACTTCACATCATGTTCACGGCGTCGAGAATCACATTTTCCGGAGGATTTTGTTGGAATAATACGCACAAACAACCGGTGGATGTACTAGGAGCGCCGTCCGAAGCATTCATGTGGTATTTTGACCCTTTCTTAGCGGCTAGAGATCGCGGGGATTTCGCGTAAATAGATATGTTGTGTGGATCCAGTCTGTGTGTTGTACATCATAGTGCGCGCAGATTCAACTACATGGGATCCCTACGCACTGGAGTTTTGGATATAAGAGAGGCGCCATTTTTTGTTGCTACCACGCAATCTGAGACTGTGTCTTGGAGAGGCATAGCCGGTAGCCGTCTAGCTGATCCTCCTGTTGTTTCCTTGCCCCTTTTTCTTCGACACCAGAGCTTGCCACTGGTTCCCGTCAACCAGCAAGAGCGGTGAAGCAGACACAGCCAAGTAAGAAGCATTGTTACGTCATACCGCCTACATGTCTGAAATATGACTTTGAGGTTTAATGATGGGGGTTTTACGATCGTGGAGAAGCTGTTCAAAGCACTGCGAGAGATTTTACAGCACTGGCGAATTTCCCTTGCCTCCCTGCTTTTTTATATACTCTTGTCGTTACTCACAAACGTTAGCAGGGAGAACTTCCTGGTGCTAGCGACCAACATCACAACCAATACAAAACAGTACCACAGACCTCCAAGTTCACCGGTCACTACGTTATGCTCGCTGACGGGACCACACTGTCCGGAGGAAACGCAGTCGTGTTACACGCTGAGGAACAGGACCGACGCGGAGAAAATTTGTAACCTTTCCGTAGAGTGTCGGACGAAAAGCGACCTGGAATTTAGTCTTGATACTTGCGCGTGGAGGACTCGCATGAATTTAGTACACGTTGGGAATAACAATTCGGATTGCCTATCCATGGACAGAGAAGGATGCTTATCCTGTTTGCAGGATCTTCTAGTAAAGGATCAAGGAGTCCAAGAAGATTATGAAAATTACTCTTCCATTTTACGTCGGTACGATTGTGAAAGGAACTACTCAATGTATGGCTGCGATGATTGTAAGGTATGTTCTGAACGACCGGACACTTACGGAGTCATGGTTTGTATTCCCATATAAACATGCAGCCTGGAGTCCAGTAATGTTCATGTGGCGAATTGGATTCCAAGAAATGAAGACTTGTCAGAACACAAAGTTTTGAAAAGTACCATTGGACGTTAAGAAATGGATCGGACACGACACTAAAGATCTAAAGCAAGACAATAATACCTTTTTGGTGTCCAGAAAAGAAGTCCGGAATTCCAGTATCTTACCAATATTTACCAGCACTCCAGGTTGCATGTCCAGCATTGTCGGATTGTTGTGTTTTTATGTTTGTTTGTTTGTCTAGTTGTTTGTTTAGTTGTTTACAGTTGCAGGTGTTCCGGTGTGTGGACTGATATCGCAGCAAAAGCTGGCTACAAGAACAACTCAGAAAATTTGTTTCTTTCATTTCCCCATGTGTGCAACAAAATCTCTTGCCTGCTCGAATAAATAAAGTTTGTAATGCGACAATTTTTTTTTCAGTTCAAAGTGCATTATTTTCTTCATGTAAAAGAAGTTTAGGAACATGAATCACAATGATGTGTCATTAAACAATGACATCTTAATGTCATTGTTTAACATTAATAGCACCTGTTGTGGTGTTCAAAACATTTAGCTTTAAATGTTTTGAAAAGTCAACTCTGGAATTTGGAAAGGGCATTTATAAATCCCATGAACCCTAACCTTCCCAAATCCTCCAAAATTCTCTTTGAGAAATGGAGGATTTTGCAGGATTGAGGTCATATGGCAAAAAGGTGTGGTTGATTTTGGAGGATGCACTGTGTCAAGCTCTTGGGCAGGACCTTGTGTTGTTGATGCTCAGCCATGCATACATTTAGGCCTAGATTATACTTGAAATCCTCCGCACTGCTCCAGGATGTCACTGGCTCTGCCTTGACATATTGACAGTGATTGGTAGAGGATTTTGCAGGATTGAGGCAGTGGTCACCCCTCCAAGGACCACATCAGGAAATAACAGAGGATTTTGGAGGATTGAGTCTGTATGCAATTTTGACATGAAGGCAGTTGGAGGTTTTTTGCAGGATTGAGGTTGCATCCTAGCAAAAATGCCTAGGTAGTGAGTTAGGGTTACTTAAACAAATCACCAGATTTCTTGCATATTTTTGTCAATTGTTTGTCTAAGTTTTAAGAGCAATTTAGCATGTTCATGTAAGCGAAACATTCAAATCACAACCGAACATACATATTCAAAATAATCTTATAAGCAGTGAAAGTTCTAGAAATTGTCCTACGAATTGCATGGAATGTAGGCACGTCTGCCAATATGAATTTTTTTTGTTTTAAAATACTTTACATGTATTTAATTTCATCTGCTGTAGGGTTGAAGGCAACATAGAACTAATTAACCTGCTTGAGTGGACCCCACTCCGTGTGTAATTGAACATAATCCATTTTGCATCGTGGCCATTTAGGCCATTTCCCAGTCACAGTCAGTACATTTAGACGGGTTGTGTGAACCAATTAAATCAATAAGTCATTAAAAATGGCATAATGAGATGTGCTGTTGAGTTTGGAATGATAGAGAGGCAGTGTATATTGGTGCCTTTTGAAGGGTATTGGTGGAAGTTAACGTGCTTTGATTGAACTAAATTTACATATTTGAAATCTGTTCTCAGTTCCTCTTGTCACAAGTCAAAAAGGAAAACTAAAATCTGAAATAAATTTTTTGTCGTGTCCTTTGATTGTATTAACCCTCCTATGCAAACATACATTCAGTGCCAACTTGTCCTTTCAGTCAAAATCAAACAAGTGACTGTTTTCAACAGTTCAGAATTCCCAGTCTACATAAAGCAGGATTGACTGGCTGGGACTGTTTAATTAACTTGATACAGCTATGCTTTTGACTCCCGGTGAGTGATAGAACAGCTGTGACCACAACTTGCTTGCTTTGTCTGTTGACCCAGTTTGACTACATGTCGTTACAGTGCTTGCTTGACATACGATCTGACTGCTGGTGACTAGCCTTTGATAAAAAAAGTAAAGCAGGGGAAGTGGAAGTGAATTTTGACTGTCTGTGACTGTTTAAATAGCAGGAGAGTTAACAGCATATGTGTACATTTAGGTTACAAAACAAACGACAGATCTATCTGTCTGTATATTTTTGAAGAGCCAGATATTTTAAAATTGTATCACAAACTATCTGAAATTTTCCTGTAAGGTACGTGTAGACACGCCAAAAGAAAATAATTTCTTAAACAAATTCATTTTCTTGTGTTTGAAAATAAACTGTAGTTCTCATTGTTTTTTTTATTTGAAATATATTTTATTTAAATCAAGTCTGTACATGAATGTGTGCATATTTCACACCCAAAAAAATCCTGAATTTCTTTTTTAATAGCCGTCACAAATAGCCTGCTACAGTACATGCAGTTACTGTCTGGTCATTGTTATTCACACCAAACGACTTTATCAAACAATCCATCATCTGTCTGCTTCGCCGCTTCATGGTCTCAAGATAATGACGTGATCACTCCTCATCTGACATTCATTCTCATTCTCTTCTTCATCATGTGTGACTAGGAATCATTCATTCATATCGGACTAAACCTCACTTTAGTGACGAGTCTCTGCCGCAATCTCATAAAATAAAGTCCGGGATCGGCGCGGCTAGCGCATCGAGGCAGCTTCTTGCCTTGATGACCTTTGACACGGGTCAACTCTTGCAGCGTCCGTGTACACATAAAGAAACTTTTGTATGCCATTTTAAAAAATCTCACAACCACATGAACTTTAAAAAAAATCTCCATGCAAAGTTATTTTTGAAACCTTTTATCTACCTTTCCAGAAGTGTTTTGCCAAATTTCCGCTTTAAAATTTGGGCCTCACGCCGCGAGGCTCACGGCTCACGCAATCCGCTTTAAATGTAGCAGTTTCCAATAAATTATGTCGGTCAGTGGAGTGACGGCCCGCATCCCCTGAAAACATGACAATCTGCAATCATATGTCATGCTTTGAAAACGAGTATATAAAGCATTAGATAATCATTAACAACCGAGCAGGATCCGAATTGATGAGTTTGGCACCGAGAAACCGGGTTATTTGTCACATTGTGAAAGGCGACTGTCAGAGAATGGTATCGTTTGCTTCTAATCAATAAATGCAAGATATGGTTGCATGTCGGTAGTGACTCCTCGTTCCTTCCTGGTGCAGAGTACGCGGGGAGCTTCAGTCTTGAAGATGCCTAGCTCTCTTACAGGAAATACCCAACCTCTGCACCCTTGCAATTTTATACCCCTCCCCCCCCCCCCCCCCCCCCAAAAAAAACCTAACGTCTCGGACAATCCTGAGATGCAAATCATATTATTTGGCAGACATCAACAAGGTTTGTCTATTTCCAGACTGCAAATCTTTCCCCTTCAAGCCTTTTTTTTTTTTTCTTCTTCTTCTACTTCTTCTTCTTCTCCCCCGTCACTCAAGACAAACACAGCGTACCGTGTGGTTCTTGCCAGCTCGACGATGCAAATCCATTTTTGTAGCACAGTGACGTCACCATCCGGGATGTGCTTTTTACATAGCGGCATCTCTGACGTGACATCACGCACATTATTAGCCCAGTGCTATTTATAGCCGGCTCTGCCAGGCTCATTGTGCCGCTGGTTATATCCCCGGCCCGCTCACAACAAAATATGCACTTATCGCCGCACATTAAGGCAGAAAATACACTAATAAACGGCACATTTTTTAGGCTAATTTTATTTGTTGCGTGGCGTGGGGATCTTAGCAGTGAATAACGCACGGCATTCCTGGCACAGTCAGAGATTGACTCTGTCTGTGTAACTTAAGACGTGTGGGTTATTGGCTGTGCTTATGCTCCTGCATAATATGCATTATACGCGCCTTGTTATCCTGAATTTACTTATACATGACCTTTGAAATAAGCCACTAAAAAATCAGTGCTGAAAAAAAATCATGACATTATTTCACATTTTCTCCCCGAGAAATCAGACAAATGCGTACGTGTACATGTACATTAAATTTAGAGAATGTTAAAACAACGAAAAAGAAAATGTTGACTTTTTCAAACATTGGCGAGTTGATGTTCCGTATTAAAACAAGTAATGCATTTTTTTTCCAATTACTGAGAGATCTCAAAGTTATTATGAAAGCTTAAAATATTGAGTGACAAATTTGTGTATCCATACAAATTAACATTTGTATGAAATGAGAAATTTGGAACAGGTATACCGTATTGTGATTATAATGAAAGGCCTTAAATCCAGCAATTTGCTTAATTTTCTTTATCATAAAATAAACGAAATACACATGTACATGTAGGCCTACTGTGTAATTTAACGTTGGTGTGAATTGCTACAATGTAATGTAACATTTTCTCGCTCAGTAGCAGCTACCGGTACATGTATGACATCTTTATAAATCTGATGTGTCACAAGTTCATTATTGCTTAAATTATTACTTTAAAAAAAACCATTTTCTTATTTATAAATATATCCGGCACCTTTGACATTCTGGACAAAGCAATATTCAATTATAAGTGCATCTATGGCATATTATTTGTTCAAATTGACATGTAGTTTTCCCCCATTTTTATTGTTGAAAATGATGACTGTGGTAAAATAAACTTTTGTTAATTTTACAAATGATACAGACATGGATCGTTATTTATAATTTCTCAGTAACCCAACTCGAACTGTTTATTTCAGTTCTTTTCTATCTTTAGAGGGAATACAATATTTGCAAACATCGAAAAATAAAACTACCAAGTTTTTACAAAATACCTTACTAGGATGTTGGTTAATGACAGTCTAAAGCATCCTGTAAAATTATGGCACCTGTCATTTAAGTCATTTTCAAGAAGATGGTATTTTTGGAAAAATTTCCAACGGTGGTCAGCCGACCACCGTTTGAAAAACCTAACTATTTTTCAACTACCGGTAGGCCTACTGCTCCAAATTTACCTTTTTTTCAATCCAAATTTTGTTTGCTATTGGTTACATGTTCATGAACGGGTGCAGGCCAGCTAGACTGGTTCCCTTACCTTACAATTTCCCGGCATCTGTAAATTGATCCATTTTATATTTAGTGGAGTCAGGGAACCAGACTACTTGAACATTTTTGTTGTTCTTGGTTTTTCCAGCATTTTCGAACACAAAACTTCAAACATGTCAACTAACCCCTCAAATAGTTCATTTCTGAAAATTACAGCAAAAACCAATGATGTTCATATATATTCCCTTATAAGGTAAAGCCTATAATTTTCATTCTACCTCGTGTATATAATCACAGTCTATATTTAAATAAAATGTGCCCACGTTGAATTTCCGCGAACCCTTAGCCCATTGTCCGCAGTAGCTCGTCCTAAAAAATTCTAATCAATTTTTGATACCAACTTTTCCAAAGCGAGCAGCGATTTAATTTGATCGGTTGGCCCGGTACTACTCCGGCGTATCCCGCTAGGGTTATTTGCAGATATGCCGTCTCATTCGTCATTGTCACTCATTGTCACACTAGCAGGGACACTAATGGACAATCATATGCTGTAACTGATTACACCTAGTGTCCCTGATTACCGTGCTGTCACTGAACGGACCCACTCCTGTACTTACAGGTAGACGGTCATTACAATCACTGCAGTCTGGTTTTCTCTTGCGTTTAGCTTTTTCTTTGGTTTTGTTTTGTGGTTAGCGCTTCTGTTTAAAAACCCTC